CATACTTCAGGAAGAAACAGTTCCACCAGCAGCAGACAATCATAATGTGTTTGTTCCGGATTGAATAGTTATTTTCCTGTGAGTTGTACAGAGCTGTTGGATTTTTGAAAAAACCTTAAAGAAGATGATCAATAGTATTGTCGTTAATGTGCAGTGTAGAGAGACTGAGTCTAAAAACAGTAAAGAAAGAAAAACTATTTTTTCATCTGCAGATAAAAATAACTGCACGGCAGAGATTGTGTCTAAAAATAAAATAAGCACCTCTTCCATTGTTTTTTTTTAACAAAGCACTTTGTTGGTTTTTATTAGAGTGCTCCTCTTTTAAAGGCATCCTGGGATAGCATAAATGGACTTTTGCTTAATTCTCACTTACAGAACAGTCTTATTCTTATTCTTATGTTGGCTGTGATGACAGTTTTTGTTTTGTGGCTCTGATTTTACAAATATCCACTGGAGCTTTTAGAGTTTTATTTAACTGTTTTGTCTATAAATAGATTTATTCTGACAGCCTTCTGTAGTCTACCACATGAAAGTTAACCTATGACCCGGTTTATAAATGATCTGCACACGTGTGAATGGAAACTACAGCTCCTTTAATCACTTATTGATTCATTTTCATTTTTCAAAAGAAATAAAACAAAAATTATGTTTTTCAGTCAGTTATTTTGATTTTTAACTGACAGTAAAACAATAACCTGTATGAAAAGTCATTAAAGTGCTGCTTTCTGTTTTTTATGGTCTTGTTTTGATCATCGTGTTTGTTCTTGCTTTGTGTCAGTCAGTCTTCCCTTATGCTCAATGTTCAATACTGTCTCCAGTTTCTCTTTCCAAAACAATCTTTGTTTTAAGTCAGGAGCCATGTAGAGTTCATATTGTAAAAAGGGACAATCCAAAGGAGTTAAATGATAAATGACCCGCACTTGTATAGCATCTTTCAGAGTCCGAGGATTCCAAAGCGCTTTACACTACAATGTATCATTCATCCATTCACACACACATTCACGCGCTGATGGTGATGAGCTACGATGTAGCTACAGCTGCGCTGGTGCACAATGACAAAGGCGAGGCTGCCGAGCACAGATGCCACCGGTCCCTCTGACCACCACCAGCAGGCTAGGTGGGTTAAGTGTCTTGCCCAAGGACACAACAGCAGACCTCTCTCTGGAGACGGGATCAAACCTGCAACCTTCCGATTACTGGACAACCTGCTCTACCTCCTGAGCTACTGCTTGAGCTTCAATGAATTGCAAAATGAAGAATGTGCTTGATGAGTTTGCCTTTAAGCTCATGCTGTTTTCCACTTAATTCAAATTTGCTGCATTTGTGTCTCATCAGAAACAATTTTTCACTGAGAAACATCCATTTATGAATTTTCAAGTTCATTTTTTATTCTACGCAAGACACAACCACCCCGAAGCTCCATATTTTTGATCCCCACTGTGGGATCAATAAGGTTTATTCTACATTTGCAGAATCAAACCATCAGCTGCCCTTTTTTTGGGGGGGGGCAATCAGCTTTCAGTAGGGGCCAGTACCTCCGCGGTTCTGCTCATAGTTTTAACGCACCCCAAGCAGACCTCACTAAAATCCTGGTAAACCAGACAGAGAAAGTAACTGAGATACATAACCAGTGTTGTGGTACCAATTACGATATCTTGCTGATTTTATATAAACGGAGTAGGTGAGTAAGGCAAGGCAGGTTCATTTATATGGCACATTTCATACAGCTGAAGCAATTCAATGGGCTTTTCAGGTGCAAAAGATTAAACATTTTTTGAACTCACAAATAAACTTAGATGTAAGAAATTTCATTAAAAAGGCTAAGTTAAAGGGTGAGCAGTTACAGTGCAGAAGATGCAGCTTAAGAAACAATCACCGAAAGGCTGATGAATGCAACAAAAAGTTCTATTCAGATTCAAAAGTTACTTGGGGCACATTTGAGTTCATGTGGTCATTCCATCTCTGCTTAAAGTAACTTCATCCCGTTTGGTTCTGATCCAGGTTCTTATAGCTGATTGCTTTCTAAAGCAATACAAATACAAATACAAATACAATACAATACATACAATTAGACAGAATACATACAATACAATACAGTACAAATACCCAGCCCTGCTGGGTGTAAATACTGTAAGAAGATCCAACACGTACTTTGGCCTCATGCTACTGAGTGATTTATAAACTAGTAGAAACACTTTAAAGTTGATTCTGTAATTTACTGGTAACCAGTGTCGAGATTTAAGAACAGGAGTGATGTGCTCAGTTCTCTTGGTTCTTGTTAAGACTCTAGCAGCAGCATTGTGAACAAGCTGCAATGGCTTTAAAGCTTTTTTGGGAAGACCAATAAAAAGACCATTGCAATATTCCAGGCTGCTGGAGCTGAACACATGAATGAGTTTCTCTAGGTCCTGTCTGGACACGAGACTTCTGAGTCATGCTATTTAATGCAGATGATAAAACACCAATCTAGATATAGCCCTAATGTTACCAGTAAGGTCAGGTCTATATTATTTATGACACCAATATTTCTAACCTGGGTCTTTGTCTTCATTGCTGTTGAGCCAAGCTGTGCAATAACCTCCATCCTGTCCTTCTTATTTCCAAAGACAATAACTTCAGTCTTGTCTTTGTTTAACCGGAGGAAGTTTGACTGCATCTAGTCATTGACGTACTCCAAACACTGACAGATCGTTTATGACCTGAGCCAGGGGGAGCATGTAGAAATTGAAGAGCAGTGGTCCAAGAACTGAGCCCTGGGGGACCCCACATGTCATTTCCAGATCTGATCCTCATAGATGCGACCTAACTGAAGGCAGGTGAGTTGAGGTCTGGTTAACAGCAGAGATGGTGCACGGATAAAATATTTATTATTTATTTTTTCAAACATCTATAACGGCTGGTCCACTTGCTTTGATCACTAGGAGCAGGAATTTACAGGTTTTACTCATGAGTGTCATTGTCTGACCTGGTTACTGCATCAGCTTCACCTTTGTTCAGGTAACAGGTAGCAGGCAATAGGCTGAGGATATTCCTTACGGAGCCTTATTCTCCCCACTTCCAGTCTGTCCCATACTTTGAGATTTGTTGGCTTGTAAAATTTTCTAAATAAAACGACTGTAAATCAGACGTCACATATATGACGCCACAGCAGAAGATCTTTCCCCCAGCGTAGCTGCTATTTACCACACGGCCAGATTTATGGAGGTTTTCCCCACGTTTAATACTCCTTCTTTTGTCTTGGAAGAAGGATTCAAAGCTCACCAAACTCACAGCCATTGTCTTCTCTGTGTCTGCTTGGATGACATCAACATGGTGAGACAAATTTGTAGCCCTGTACATCTTTTCCCAGAAAACCTTAAATGACTTTTGTTTCTGTTAAAAAAAAGCACTTTTTTGGCATCCAAATGTGTCTTTAAAATGCATGGACATCATATGTGAAATCCAAGGTGCATAACAAACAGGATTAGAATAGCTTCCATAGACCCCATGACATGCATTTGTTTTTTCGTATTTCCAGGAACCCGTGGTCTGGAAAGAGATGGGCGTCACTTCAATTCAATTCAATTCAAGTTTATTTATATAGCGCCAAATCACGACAAGAGTCGTCTCAAGGCACTTCACATAATAAACATTCCAATTCACAGTTCATTAAGCCAATCAGAAATAATGTTTCCTATATAAGGAACCCAGCAAATTGCATCAAGTCACTGACGAGTGTCAGTGACTATACAGCAATCCTCATACTAAGCAAGCATGCAGTGACAGTGGAGAGGAAAACTCCCTTTTAACAGGAAGAAACCTCCAGAGAATCCTGGCTCAGTATAAGCAGCCATCCTCCACGACTCACTGGGGATCGAGAAGACAGAGCAGACACACACACACACACAATAATGTGTCTATAGTTCTATTGTGATGTCTTAGTAAATATTCTGATTGGTGAGATCAACTTTATTGTATTTATCATAGTGGATCTCTAATTAAATGGGTAAACTAGCAGTAACACGTCCAACGTCAAGGAAAGCAAACAGTTATTATCAGGAGAGGGAGAATGTTTAAGTGGTTAGCAGCAGTGTGCTAGACGATGGCACCCTCCATGAGGCCACCACAGCTCAGCAGAACATCGTTGTAGCTTCTTCTGGGGAGAAAAACACTTAGAGAGAAAATAAAGTTAACAGCTGAAATTGCAGAAAGTAATACAGTTAAAGAGCAGATAGTAGAAGAAAGTAGTAGAGTGTGGAAAGTGGTCAGTGTATCCTCCAGCAGTCTAAGCCTATCGCAGCATAACTACAGAGTTAACTCTGGGTAATCTATCCTATTTAGATGGAGGCATGTTGGAGGCAGGGCAAGGGAGAGTCGTCTTTACCGACTGTACACTCCACCTCCCTCTACTCCCCCACTTGTCCTGATTTAGGCTAACATCAGATTTTAACCATAGGCCCTATCAAATAAAAATGTTTTAAGCCTATTCTTAAATGTAGACAAAGTGTCTGCCTCACGGACTAAAGCTGGGAGCTGGTTCCACTTGGCTCCCCATCTATCTTACAATTTTCTTCTTCTCTGCTACATCTGTTCAAGCACCCATTCTGCCCCCTAGTGGTTACAGAGCAACACACTCCCACTTGTAACTGAACCCAAGCTTCAGCAGTATTTTAGTAGAAACCTCTTTAGCTGCTGGCCCCTGCTGTAATCAGTGCAGATCATTAGAGACAAGCCACACATTAAAGGCAAAGTCTGGAAATACATTTGCATCTTTTCTTTCAACAGCCAAAAAGCCAAAATATCATCAAGGCTGAAGAAATTTTCCTTTCACAGGTTTTCTTATTTAAAAACAGGTTGTGTTCCTTTAAAGAAATGCATACTTCATTTCTTTTCATTCGTTTTCATGTCAGAGATTTACCAAATATTATTCAATGTTTCAGAAATAATAGCAATAGTTGAGAGACTGGTGCAGGGAGAGCTGAGCTCTTTTAGCTGGGCTTTGCTGCAGTGGCGTCCTAACGCTGGGGGCAGATGGTCCCTCTCTCAGGCGTCAGCTGTTTACAGACGCAGATGAGGGATTTAGTGGACGCCGAGTCTCTCTCTCAGCTCTCAGAGGAAAAACACACTCAACTCAAACTTCTGACTCATTTACTGGAGAACAACAACCAAAGAGGACCCATTTTTCTTCTTTTTTAAAGTTTACTCCGAGAATGTGACTGAACGGAGGTAAGACGTTGACATATTGTTTATTATTTATTCATGTGTTGTCTGTTTTACTGATAGAATCGGTTTATTTCACAGAATGTTCAAAAACTGATGAAAACGTAGGAATCAGAACGCTTTTTGAACTCCCCTGTAGAAGAAAACAGAATTGAAAGGAAAGTCAGTCACCTGCTAAATCATATTTAATTCCTTTTGCTGATGGTGGATCTGCCTGAAGAGATTATAAAGTTCTTACGGGAATAATGCAGCGAAAGCCTCATACTGTACCATCAGTGGGGAAAGCTGTTCGTCTACATGACAAATAAGAGGAAACGTGGATTTATCTACATTTTACCATACGTGACAAATGATGTGACTGATAAATCATCTATGTTTTGCCAGCTGTAACTTTTTTATTCTGTTCAGGAGATATTGATTTTATTTAATTATTTAATATTCACATCAAGTTAAAAAGACATTTTCTATGTGGCATTTCTAATATTTTGGTGCCATATTGAAAACAATTAGGTAAAATACTGATATTAAAGCATTAAAAATGTAAGATACTAATATTTTACATTTTATTTAAATATCTCCATTATTTTTAGGTTTATTTTTGTTCAATGATTGTTTTTCAGTTTAACTTCAGTTAAATCTTGAAGCTGTTACTTTGCAGGTGTTTGGTTCCACCACAGTGTTCAGTAAACAGACATCATAAGAACAATACATCTGAACAGCATGGCACCGAGTAACCAGGTCATTTCCTCTTCTGCATCCTGTTCTTCAACAAAACACACACCGAGGGGAAAACTGTTTACTGATTGGGGAATGTGTGCATGAGAAAACCCAGATCACGGCATAAATGCTCCTAAACTGCCAAATATCAACTGATGAGTTATTAGAGAAAAAGTGCTAATGTGGGTGGTGTTTGTGTCTAGACAGAAACAGACCGGTGGCGTTGCATTTACTGAGATGAATGGAAAATAAAAACGACCATTTCTCTCTGCAGGTGCACAACAGGAAGCGCTTTAATGCACGCTTTTAATCCAGGAGCTTCCTCTTTCCTTGGACTCCACATGCAGGACATTCCAGATTTCCTGGCTCTATGAGCAAATCAGATTAATGTCCAAAACAGCTGCACAGCAGATTCCTCCAAGATGGCCGTTTCCTCTCTGTGTGTCACTGAGGAGCCAGGAGCTGGTTTTCCTGAAGTGGATTTGTGCACTTTACAGATTGATCTACAACATGAGGCCATCCCATCTATTGTCTGCTCTGTTTGCCTTTCGTTCGGCCTCATTTACTGCTTTTTTGGTACGTATCCACAATGATGATCCTAAAATGAGATTATGTTTGATGTCACTGTGTCTACAGCAACTGAATGTATCATTAGCTCACCTGATGGTCTAAGTCTTGGCAGGTGTCTGCTGGCTGCCAGGGGTTTAGTGAGGATAAGCCCAAAGCTGGAGGAGGCATATGGGGAGTTCTGTCTCATTTTAATGGAGTTAGTATTTATGAACCACCAACTGTTACACTAAATAAAATCCCAATGATGTCATTTTTACCAAATTTGTGGGAAACAAATATTGTTCTCTCTCTGCTACAACCTGCTCCCTGAAACATGGGTGTAGAGCCCGCCCCCGGGGTCCAGTTCGTGTAAATCATCTCAAGCTGCCTTTAAAGACTGTCTGAGTTCTGTGTCTTTACATGACCTCTGACATTAGTTACTGTGTCACGTTTTCAGCTCATGTGGACCCACAGGACAAGATGAGAGCCTGCTGTGAAATAACAACATAATCAAACCGGACACAAGCAAAGAGACACTCCAAAAGGTTCCCCTCCTGGCATGCAGCTCCACCTCCTTAAAGCCAATTATTCAGATGAGCTCATCAGAAATGAGAATAACAACTCCTTATTCAGTAAATAATCAACAACAACAACAACACTGCAGCTAACCCAAATGAGAACATTTGACAGTTTCTGTGGCTGCACATTACTAATATTCTGCTTCATAGAGGGCACTGTGTTCCTAGAACTTTGCCTTCTGACTCAGCTCTCTCTTCGCCACGACAGATCGGTACAACGCCCGCATCGCTGCCGACGCAGCACCAATCCGCCTATCGAACTCACGCTCCAGCTTTCCCTCAATTGTGAACAAATCCCTGAGATACTTGAACTCTTCCACTTGGGGCAGTACCTCATCCCTGACCTGGAGAAAGCATTCCACCCTTTTCCGAATCAAAGCAAAGCTCTCAATTTACCAGTCGATCTATGTTCCGACTGTCACCTGTGTTAATGAGCTTTGGGTAGTGACCGAAAGAACAAGATTGCGGGTGCAGACAGCTGAAATGAGTTTTCTCCGCAGGGTGGCTGGGCTCTCCCTTAGAGATAGGGTGAGAAGCTCGGCCATCCGGGATGGGCTCAGAGTAGATCTGCTGCTCCTTCACATCGAGAGGAGCTGGTGACTCGGGCATCTGATTAGGATGCCATCTGGACGCCTCCCTGAGGTTTTCCGTGCACGTCCAACTGGGAGGAGGCCTAAAGGGAGACCCAGGACACGTTGGAGGGACTATGTCTCTCGCCTGGCCAGGGAATGCCTTGGGATTCCCCTGGAAGAGCCGGCCCAAGTGGCTGGGGAGAGGGAAGTCTGGGTCTCTCGACTTAGGCTGTTGCTCCCGCCACCCGACTCTGGATGAACAGGAGAAAATGAATAGATGGATGGATATCTTCCTAGACTGTCTAAAGTAAGAGGAGCTTGTTTTTACCATAGCCGACACGTTTTGACGTCTACTGCTGCCTTTGTTGGAGTTATCGCCGATGTTGGTGGAATCACTTCCATATAAGTATTTGCGAGCAGCAGAGGACGATATTGCCCTCTATTGCCCGAGCCCCCTCTGTTGATCACAATGTCCCATGTGTGGTCCAGTGTGTATACTCCTTCGTCCCTGCTCATGGTCCTGGATCCACGTCTCCTTGTCTCAGTTGCTTCCTTGAACCATCTTTTGAATTTCTGTTACTCTGTGTTTATGATCAGTGTGCTGTCCCAGTCCATTATATGGTTTTCAAGGGTTTTATATATGTGTAAAAGCACCTTTGAGTCTTCTGAGTTGATCAGGGTTTTCTCCATTTCCTCTTTCCAGGATACCGCTGCTTTAAGATGATCATGTTCTTCTCGGGCTTCACGTTTGGCTCAGGTGTTGTGCTCCTGTTCTACCACAAGGAGCCCGCTCTGGACAGCCAGCTGGGAGTGGAGACCAAGGCTGGAATCAGTCTGGGTGTGGGAGTGCTGTGTGGCCTGATGACCATGCTGGTGTCCATGTTGGGACTGGTCCTCAGCGGCCTGCAGCTGGGAAGTCTGGTCTCACTCTCCCTGTTGGTGGTTATCAGTCAGTTTTACAGCCTTACACTAACATGGGCTCTTCTCAGTGCTGTACTGGCTGCCAGCATCTCCTCTGCCATGTTCACGCTGCAGTGGCAGAAACTGTTCAGCATCATCTACACGTCTGTGTTGGGAGCAACAATCGTGATGCTGTGCGTGGACTTCCTGCTGGGGGCGTTCATGCTGCCGGATCAGCTGTATGACTTGTTTTGTCAAGTGGCTCCACGCCCGCTTTGCTGGTTTAACTGGGCAATCACTGGGATCTGTCCTTTTCTGAGTGTCTCGGGTGTGCTGGTGCAGTGGTGGTTCACTGCAAGAGGATTTTCACACAGCGATGGTGAGTTTTTGTCAACCAGACGAAAGAGCTCATGTTCCTAATATGTTGAATATTTCACATTGTACTGTAATTCCCCACTTTTCTCAGCTGCACATAAAAAGCAGAAGAAACAAAGTATGAAGTATAAATGCAGAGAATCGAGGAGAAGACCTCAGCCGTACCGCCAGCGTAGGCCTCCGCCCCTCAAGCGCTACGCAGGGGATGTCCTGGCTCCGGTGAGTGGCTAAAATGAAACTTTAAAATGTCTAAGGAAAATCCTGATCATGAGGGAATAACCTTGTTTCTCTGGTCTGTCCAGAGTTACCTCCGCAGACTCCAAGAGCACCAGCTGGGAACGGGTTCCTCCACCAGCAGCATCAGCACCGTCACACACACTCTGATTGACTTTGACTTTGAAACGGGCTCCATGGTGCCTCTGACCGCCGCCTCGCCCATCTTTACAGTCTGAGGAATCACAGCACCAAGTGACTGGAAACAGCACAGACCTGAGAAAGCTGTTGTGAGGTCCTGATGATTAAATATTGATTTTCACTTCTTCACTTTCACAAAAGCTATTCAAGTAGTTTGAGGCGTAGATCGTCCTCATTGTCTTGAGTCATCAACCTACGCACCGTCTTATTTTAGAGACTGATTTGTTTTTACTGGACAAGCGTAGACGACGGGACCCGAAACATAAACACATATAGGAAACCAACACACACAGACCAATATCTATTATGGACATCAGAACACCCCACCATAAACAAAATGTCAGTAATCAGAACATTATATCACCGTGCAAACATAATAACAGAAGAAAGAGACCGTAAACAAGAGGACAAACACATACAACATGCTTTAAAGACCTGCGGATACCCGACATTGGCAATAAACAAAGGAAAACAACAAACAACAATGGAAAGAAAAGAACAACCAAAGCAAAGAACCAGAAACCCAGAAAGACAAGAACCAAAACCAGTGATAATCCTACCGTACATCAGAGGCATGACAGAAAAAATAAGAGCAACAATTAAAAAACACAACATAAACACACCAACGAAACCATACACAACAGTTAGAAACAGATTAGTACACCCAAAAGACAAGATACCAGCTGGGCATAAATGTAGAATCGTTTACGAAATCCCATGCAAACTCTGCAATAAAACAAACATAGGAGAAACCGGACGCCAACTCAACACACGAACAATAGAACATAGAAAGGAGTGCGAGAAAGAGGCAAGTCGAAAACACACAAGAGCAGCAAAAGAAGAAGCAGAAAGCACAATAAAGAAGTCAACCATAACAGATCACTGCATAAGAGAAAACCATATAATGGACTGGGACAACACAAGGTTCATAAACACCGAACAACAAAAATACAAAAGATGGATAAAGGAAGCTATCGAGATAAGGAGACGTGGATGTGGGACCATGAACAGGGACGATGGAGTTTACACGCTGGACCACGCATGGGACTGCATCGTCGGAGAGGGGAGAGCGGGCAGCAGAGGGCGACAACGTCCTCTGCTGCCCGCGGATAAATGGAGAAGGAAGTGACGCCACCATCAGCGTCAGCCTGAGGAAGTTTGCAGCCGCAAACGAAACGTAGCGACAAAACAGGTTAACAAAACTGCTCTGTGTTTTAAAAAAGAACTACAGCATGGAAGCGTAGATTAATAAAATCTTCAGACCGGAAAAACTGTCATATTTGAATTAATCCTCCAAATCTGTTTTAATTTCTGTGGATTAAGTCTACATGTCAATCAATGCAAGCATTATGAATGTTGAATTATGGGTAATAAAACCTATAATGTTTATTTTATCTGTTTATAAAAAACTGAAATAATTCACCTTTTTCTTAAAGTGACAGTGTGTATTTTCCCCGCGATAGGGGGCAGTGCATGCCTAAACCATTGCAAGCAAGCAATATTTTTGTGTTTGAGTGAGACCTTACCAGCGGGTTGCCATCAGGGTCAAAAATCCCTGGGCGCACAATTTTCGAATGCGTCCTTCGTCAGATGGTTCAGCCTCCAGCAAAATGACAAACATCAGCCTCCCTTTCATCACTGGCTACGAACAAAGAGGTAACTGTGTAAAACAACAATGTTTATGAATGGCAAAAGTTTTGTAACCACTTGTTACAAATCAGTAAATGTGTGTGTCCTTACAGGCTCAAGTAGAAGGAAACATTGCGTCTAATATGGCGTCGCCAAGAAATTAGACCCGCCCCCATGTATTTTAGTTTTTATTTACCTTGTTTTGCTAACATTTCGATTAATTATTAAAGCCATCCTCAGAGCTGTGCCGATGTTGGTGACCTCTGACCATTTATCCACGGGCAGCGAAAGACGACGTCACCCTCTGCTGCCCACGCCCTCCTCGTCGATGACACAGTCTCATGTGTGATCTAACGAGTGGACTCCATCACCTCTGTCCATGGTTCTGTGTCCACGTCTCCTTATTTGTATTGCTTCTTTAATCTGTCTTTTATATTTTTGTTGTTCAGTGTTTATGATCCTTGTTTTGTCCCAGTCCATCATATGGTTTTCCATATATTTTGCCATAGCTTTTAAATAGCTCTGAGAACGGCTGTTATAAGCAGCCTAAATGTCAGCAAAACAAGGTAAAGAACAACTCTTTTCTTCTGTGTTTTAAAAGACCATACAACGTAGGATTAGTTGTTACAGTAAACAGATGAGGGGTTCTTGGATCACAGGACACACAAAAGGAAGAAACCTCTTTAAAATGTGTTTTAATACATGTGTACATATGTGTTTGACTGGGTTGTCCCTCTGCAGAATCCCTAAAGCCTTTTATTTGTTGGTGTTTCTCTTGTAACGGAATGAAATTACTGTTTTCCACCTAAAAGTCATTTTCCCCTCTCCTCAGCATGAGATATTGCTCAAGGTCATGTGCTTCTAAAACTTTTCCTTTCCAGCCCAAGAGAAGAATGAAGACAAAGGACTCTTTCCTTTTAATAAATCAAAGAACTCTATTTTTAATAAAGCTGATCAAACAAAGTGTTTGTCAATAATAAGATGTTGACCAATCTGTGAAATGACAATGTTATGATTAGTAAGTTTCAATGAGTAATATGACTTTAATCTAGCTGCACTAGACATTCTGATGACACGTAATGTAAACGCATGACACATTGCTTTTACTCATCCAATCGGAAACTTCCTTTCTGAAGTGTGGCATAGTCTCTGTGGTGTTTATAAATTTGCCCAACTTTGATTCGACCATAAATCAAAACATCCAGATTACTAAAACCAGCCCCACGCCATCTTAGTTCAGTTCTCTGAGTTCTCTACAGTTCACGGCAGTTCACCACATTCTAAGAGAAGTATCGGACCGGCCACCCGGACTTCCTTTTTAAGCAAAGAACCAACAAGCTGGATAAAATCTGTTGCATTTTACCAACCGAGCAACGGTTCCTTTCAGAATAAAAGCTGAACTCGCTGACCCTCCGGGTCCATCTGACGCCGTCAACCAACTGTCGCTTTTTACCTGGAGACAATCCAAAGACTAGTCTGTCGTACTGCTGACGCTGTTTCATCGGCTCCGGTACCGAAGTGGGGTTCGAGGACCTGGCATTCTGGATCTGTGCGGAGGTCTCATCCTAAGGGTATGTGTGGAGCGACAAATGGCGTCTCATGTGTTTATGAAACTCCGATCATAGCTTAAGAGCAAAACATCAAAGCATCATTCAGACTTGCTTCTCCGGATACGAGAGTTCTGATGACAAACATCACTCACACACACCATTCATCTCACGTCTCATTCACACTAAGATCCATCCATTCACTTAGAATTTAGAGTTAGTCTTGTTTAAAATTGTTTGGAAATAAATCTTCTTAAATTTTAAAGATGACTCTCTCTTCTGTTGTCTCTCAGTTAATACGAAGTGTTACATAATCCCTGCAATAAAAAGTTCCAATCTTCTGGTTAAAAGTACCCAAAGATCCATAAGATTGATTTCATATTTACTATGGAATCTTACATCTTAGGTGTGTTCTTGCTGTGTCTTTCTAAATCCATGCTTTCGTTCTTTTTTAAACACAGAAACAGTTTTGTTTACCTGTTTGTAGCTACAGTTTCGCTGACGGCTGCCGGCTTCTTCAGGCTGACGCTGATGGTGGCGCGTCACTTCCTTCTCCGTTTATCTGCCGCGCCACCATCAGCGTCAGCCTGAAGAAGCCGGCAGCCGTCGGCGAAACTGTAGCTACAAACAGGTAAACAAAACTGTTTCTGTGTTTAAAAAAGAACGAAAGCATGGATATGGAATCTTACGTCTTATGGTTCATTAAATAAATGTAAATTAGCCCTTTACACTCTGAAGAAGAGCCCGCTGTTTAAATTGTAGCTCTGTGGCCATCTGCTCCTTCCCTATTTCATTTTTTACATGACATACATCACAGCTGGGCGAATCCATTATTTCCATGTATGGTTTCAAGAATCCAGTAGCAAAATAATTATAGATTTTCATGTGAAAGTGTGTCCAACATTTTCAGCCCTACAGGAAAACCCATTTACCCACTTCAGAAGAGAAAATAATGACTTGTTTTCTCCTCTGCCTGTCTGCAAACATGTTGTCTTTTATGTGTAATGATATGTTTCACTTTTAAGTAGAGTGGGTTTTCTTTTCAGAACAAAGAAAGTCTGATTACACACACCCAAAACGTTCCAATATTTAACTGCAAAAGCAAGCAGGACTGAAAAGCTCACAGCTGGGATTATTCATCTTAAAAATCTAATAAATGTTGCATTTATTTAAACATTTCTATCCCCCTTCTGAGATTTGTTGATTTATTTGAGGAATGGGGGAGAGCTTTCAAGCTTTGTTCGTTCTGATTGGATGCATCAAAATTGGACTGGAATCAGGATTCACGCAGGGAGCTGGATGATCCGGTCCACCTCCATCTGTGTGTCTGTTTATGTGTGTGAGGCTGACTCTCCAACAGCTAATCCTTATCCCGTATAGACCCCGTATCCTCCAACACACTGTGACTTCAGCTAATCTGACAAACCTGCTCAGGTGATAGGTGGACATCAAAGATGTTCTTTTACCTCGAGAGTTTATTTTGTAGTGTCATGAATTTCCTGTTTATGACCTAAAGGTCATGATCTGCTGCGTCTGCTCGAGCAGAGACATAAAGTCTCTGACAGGCTAATCTACATGAGATAGTGGCCAAGGTCTTTCATGCACTCTGCTCATCTGAACTGCTTCACTTCTGTTACAGCAAAGACGAAGAACTATTCTGATAATTGCATAATCAACAACTTTGTTAATTACCGATAATAATGTGAGCCCAATGTTCAATCAATCTGTGAGATGACAATGTTATTACTTGATTAATCCTGTGATCAGTAGTATTTTACAAGTTATCATAATCTTGGACATTTGCACTAGACACTAAAGACACGTAATGCTAAAGTCACACGACACATTTCCTTTTTTCTGACCCAATCAGAACCTTCGTTTCTGGGGCTAGGCGGGGTTATCCGTGGTGTTTGTATAAACCCTCTTTTGCATGTCAAATTCTGATTCGCCAGTAAACCAAAATATGACAATTACAAAAACTATCCCACGCTACCTTTTCTTTAGTTCAAAGTGTTCTAGAGAAGTCTCGGACAGGCCATCCGGACTTCCTCTTCAGCCAAAAAGAACCTCACACAAGCTGGATAAAATCTGTTGCAAGTGACATTTGACCGCAATGGTTCCTTCAGAATTAAAGCTGAACCTCACGACCCCTTCAGGGTCTCGGAGACGCCAGTGATAACCTGTCGTGACCAGGAAGCATTCCAAGACTAGTTTGGTCGGCAACGTTGCTTTTCTACCGGCTTCGGTACCGAGGAGGGTCCTTGTAGACCTCTGCATTCTGGATCTAATCGGAGGCTTCCCCTGGGTACGTAGACCGACAGATGGCACTTCATGTGTTTTATAAATCTCCTACTAAAGTTTAGAGCGAAACATTCACTCTCACTCAGAACTAACCGCTTCTCCGGATCTGCTGGCTCTGAATGACATTCCACACACACACACCATTGTGACTCCAAGGAAAGAGAGAGAGTCAGATCTAAAATAGTTAAGAAATTTATTTCTACACAATTTAAACAAGACTAACTTAAACACTCTGTGTACTGATGGAACTAAGGTGGAGTGAGACGTGATGAATGAGAAGTGTCAAGCAATCCCTGCAATAAAAAGTTCTGATCTTCTGGTTAAAATAGTCAAAGATCCATCAGATTGATATTTCATATTTCTATGGAATCTCACATTTTATGGTTCAAATGTAAAATGTAAACGACCCATTCTTTACAATTTACACCATCCACATGTAATAAATATGCACACTTTAACGCAGGGTAACATGGTGGTTACAGATAACTCAAAATAAATGTTTAAAAGTCAGCTGTATCATGTTTTTATTACATTTACAGTAGTAGAAATGAATGCCTTGTAAGTCGGACTTTGGGGAAATAAAGCTCTGGTGCGCCAGTTTGATGACATAAAAGTCAACTGGAGGAGATGGCAGGATTTGGAGCCTTATTTCCTGATTTCTTGTCTCTGATTGGATACTAGCAACATGACTCTACCACTGACGCCGTTTGCTCTGCAACAAATAACACAAGCCTGGAGGAGTTCTGCTGTGTGGTGGAGTTGCTAATGCTAACAGTTAACTTCTACTAGCATCTATTTTCTATCAGAAGCTAATGCAGGAGATATGTGTAGATGACAATTTTTAGCCTACATGGAAAAGAGTGACCGATAATAATCAGAAATAATAATTAATAACTGGAATCTGTTTGATCTAAATGGTAAAGAGCAGCTGTTGGTGCATTAATGAAACTTTCTCTCTCTCAGTCTCAGTATTGTTGTAAATGTTAAAGGAGGAGTAAAAGCCCAGTACAACACTAAAGGTAAAACACACACACATTTTATATGTTCTCAGATTTATGACAGCAGGAAACACACGCAGATGTTCTCCTCATGTTCACACCCACATCATGGATCAGGTTTGTGTTAAATGTCTGCTGTCCTCTGGTGGCTCAGTCATCACACTGCAGCCAGTGTGAGACAGTGTCCAGAGGATAGCCCTTCTCCACCTTTTGGTGCTGCTGGTTCACGCGCCAGTGCTGGCTGCCTTTAAACACATAGACATGGCCATCGGTCCACGTCACAGCAGCCTCCGTGTTGCTGGGTATTCCCTTGAAGAGCTGCCCGATGAATCTGGGGTATGATCTGAGGTCTGTGGGGCCAATCTCATCCCAAAGCCAGTATTTGGAGCCCTAGAGTGAAGGAGAGGGGTGTTTACTTACACTAGATGTTCAGTTATAAATGAGATCCCAGCACAGATTGAATAAATTCTACTTCTTACTTTGAAAAAGATTAGTCTTTTGATTTTAGCAAAGTAAAAAGCAGAGTCGATGTTGGCAGGGATGCTGGTCAGACGTTTGGGGAAGCCTCTGTCCAGCTGGAAGCCGGAGTATCTCCACACTTTGTCTCCTGTTACAAAACATATACAAGATGTGAAATATGGCATAAACATGGCAACAACATCCATAAGGCATGTTTAAAATAAAGCATTAATCCACCTTTCAGGAAATAGGACTTGCTTGTCCGCTGGGAGTGAACAGCTGCATCCAGGTTTCCTGGAAGCTCCCTCCACAGTGTAGAAATCCCAGTGGGAGTGGTGTGTCCAGAGCTGGACATCATCCACACATGCTGTCCACTGAACATGTATGTCTTATGTGAAGGACCTGCGGGAACACAGTGCAGAAGCCAAGGTTTGCTAGGAGGGGGTGATTTGTTTTCTGAAGCAAGTTTAAGATGTTCGTACCCAGCATGACTGCATTCAGAGAGGCCTTGCATGGATCTGGGATGGGTGCTCGTGGAGCTGGCTGTGGAGTCCTGGATGGAGGACTCGTCGCAGGTTTTCCTGAAACAGGATGACTGAATGTTGGATGCACGATGCTTCAAAGAGAGACGATTTTCCTGTGTGGTGGCTGTTTGGCTTTACCGTACAGAGCCTGGATCCCCTGGATGTCGTCTTGATGCAGCTTGAAGTCAGACCGGTATCCGGCATAAATGGGTCCCATCAGTGCATTGTAGTACTGGGAGTGTCCCAGGCCAAGAGCGTGGCCGATCTCATGAGCTGCAACAATCCTCAGATTGGACCCAGAGCTCTTTCCCTCTGTCCACACTTCATCTTCATCAAAATGCACAATGCCAGAATCTGGGGCATCCGCATGGGCTAAAACGTGGCCTAGAGTCACAAATGGATCTTTAAACCTGGTTTTATATGACAGGCTTCTACATCCAAAGCTCAACAGAACATCCTGAGGAGATTTCTCCTACCTCGTCCATCAAAGGGCACCGGGCAGGAGTTGTCTCTTCTGTGGAAGGAGATTTTGATATCTGCTCTGCCCTGGAACAGCTCCCTGAACCTTAACGGTGACACATCGCTCCAGTACTTGAAGGCACTCTGGATGGCCTGACGGGTTTTGCCCTGACCCAGGTCGGGGGTGTAATTGTAAATGCGGTACGTCAACATCTTCTTACGCCAGTAGCCTGTTCAGTTACATTGACAGTTAGCGTTCACTCCCTACGATGATTATGCCTTTATGCAATAAAGTCACCGACCCATGACTCGATATTTGAGAGACTCGTTCCTGAACGAGTCTTCGAGACCACACCGAGGTTTGCTCATCATCATCAGTGTACTTGAGTCCAAGTTCCCAGATATCTGAATATTTGCCACTTTCTGAAAAATCCTGTGATACACAGAAATGTTGTTTTGACACAAATAAGACACTGTAGGAGACAAATGAAATGAAGATGGTCACCTCAGAGCTTCTGTTACTTCCTCAGGTGGAGGCTTGAGATCTGCCCTGTCCAGTGGAACGTGCAAGTAGCCATACGTCCTTAGATATGCCTGCAGTAAAAATAATTATTCATCAGCTACAAACAACAGGTATAATAACTGATCCCTTTTCAGGACATTCACATCTCAACTCTCTGTATTCATGAATCTGGACTACAACACCAACAACTACCACAAAGGATTATCCTTTGTGGTAGTTGTTGGTGTTGTAGGCTTGAAGCATCTTACCCTTTAACTTCACATAGAATGTGTTTGGTCGGTTATTTTTGTTGTAAAGTGTTTTCCACCACCAGAAAGACTGTTTATTTTCTTTTAAATGGAGCCACATTTTGTAAGGAAAAGGCATTTCTTGGTTAAGCTGCAGAGTTGAGTTTGTTGGTCACACCAAGAAAAACCTAATGTGTCCATTCCTGACTTACTCCGCTCATCTGAGTCCAGGTCACAGAGGTCACTGTCCCTGCAGGAAGCCCCACACCAAGCGTCATCAGCAACCTCTACCAGCTCCACTGCTAGGACCTCAATGTGGAAATACATTCCCTCCAACAAGTCTCATGTTGATCAGAGGTGGGAGGGGCTTCCTGCCAGAAACGCCTCCCCTTGAAGGCACCCAGGAAGCATCCAGACCAAATGCCTGAACCCCTTCATTTGGCTCCTTCATATGGGAAAGAGCAGCTGCCCTACTCCAGATCTCTCCCGGATGTCTGAGCAACTCCCCATCTCTAAGGCTGAGCCCGGCCACCCTACAGAGGTATTTGTGATCGAGTTCTTTAGGTTGCTACCAACAGCTCATGACGAGAGGGGGGGACTGGGACGGAGAGCGATCGGCAAATAAAAAAACAAAACTTTGCCCAACTCTTGTTTGGTGTCTCTTACTGAAAGTCTGAAGAAACAAGACATGCTGGTGAATTAACAGTTTATTCATTTATCTAACAGAAACTTGGGTAGATTTTGGTATCTACAGCAGTCTGGTGCCTCCTCCTCATACTGGTCACCAGCAAGTTTCCCAGTGACAGGGCCCAATCCAGACCATTGTAGCATGAATGCAATAAAAGAAGCTCAAAGCAAGAGTCAGAGACAGAATGAGCTGTTCGGCAGACAAGATTTGGCCTTTTTTTTAATAAACCTTATTCATAAATGCTTATTTCCTCCAAATGTGGCAAAATTGATGGGAAAATTAAGGCTTTGCCACTGCAAAAAGGTTTATTGCGTCAAGGCATTGTTACAATAAAGAAATCATCAACCAAACACAAATTTCATTGTATGAATATATTTCTAAGTTATAATTAGATATGAAAAGAATGTGTTTAAGCTTTAAAAAGTGTTTTAGACCAGATTGTTATGGTCCAGGATATCAAGTAGAACACCTCAATGACAAGATGATCGGTTAAATATAGTTTCTGGTTATGTTCTCGCTACGCAAGTCTTCATGCAGACACTTTTGTTCAGACAGCAGCTTTTTCTTACCATAGCTTCATTATTGTCGTTGTTGCTTTGAGCGACTGATGAGGCTGATGTCAGCAAAACGAACAGCACCATTAACTCCAGCCTAAAGTCCATTTTCTGGTTTGGGTCTTTTTCCATTAGTGAAGACACAAAACAAGCTGACTGTTGTTTTCCTTAACGGGTGCACGAGTGTCGTGTCTCTGTAGCTGCAGCCATCCTCCGTGTTTTAGTCTACATCCGTGCGGAAGCTGCTGTCTCTCTGCAGCCATTCAGCTTTTATACCAAGTATTTGCCTCAGAAACCACACAATAAAACCTTGACATGGAATGTGATGTGTGGACTGTAGTTAAATAAAAACACACATATTTCAGACACCAACTGCACAAAGATTGGCACTCCATCATTTAGAGCCTCTGCTACCAAAGTGCATACAGCAACTTCCTGTTTACATGAAATGGAGTAGAAACGTGTGATAATTAGGAAATAAGACAGAAATAAATCAGAGCAGCTGTCCAGCATGTAAGGTGCTGAACAGCTATGCTTTTGGGAAACATTTTTGGGACTGGAACTCAAACGCCTGTGTGCCAGAAATGTTGTTGAGCTTTGATTTATTTTTGTAAACTTTCCTGTTTATTCAACAGAATCTGAGCATTCTTTGCTTTATGGCCTCCAGTCTGCAGAAAACAAGTAACCACACGTCCCCTATGGCACAACGGCAGCTAATTATACACATCCAAGAGCGGGAGCCCATTCAGGGAGTGTCGCCTCCGAGGAACCAGACCAACAAATCGTCTCAGGCTGGAGACAGAGGTCCAATCCTTTTGTTTCAGTTTCATCACACCGTCATAAAAACTCAAAAGGGAAGCATGTTCAGCCCGTGTGTTACAAAAGATGAAAATGGTTAACTGATACAACCCTCTCTCCTCTCATGATGACAATTTCCAGCAGATTTGTTCCACCTGTTTCAAACTAAACCACCCTGACCACGAACATTTGTTTTCTTTTGAACTGAAATCTTGTTCCCATGAGACGTCATTCTCACACATGGGTTGTCCACCACAGAGTCTAGACCTTAACCTCACTGAGAATCTTTGAGATGTGCTGGAGAAGGCTTTGTGCAGCGGCCAGACTCTACCATCAGTGCAAGATCTTGGTGACACATTAATGCAACACTGGATGGAGATAAACCATGTGGCATTGCAGAAGTTTATCGAAACAACGCCACGGCAAATATGTGTTGTAATCAAAGCTAAAGGCGGTCCAACAGAATATCAGAGTGTGCCTTTTATCGGCTGGGCAGTAAAAGCCTCAAAAAGACAGTTGCTGTTAACTCTAAGTGACAGAAGTTCATTTTTAAATGTCTCCACAGGAAAAATCTTCACATCCAGGTTTGAGGAGGATGTTCTAACTGAACACAAATCCCTTCGGCTGAGTGCACAAGCGGCATGTCATCCATGAGTAAACTCAGCCTTATGGTGCAACGTGAGTCGGCTCCCATTTAAAAGGCTTTTCTCGGTCTTCCCCGGGTCTCCGAGCAACCTGTGTTTGCACACGTTTCTTCAAAGCTGCTCCTGGACCAGTGAAAAGAAATGTGGGACCCAAACAGAAAGAAGTCTGTATCTACGCTCACGCGGTGGCACATTTAATTAATCTAATCCATCCTTTTTCTATACCGGTTGTCCATGCAGGGTCGTGGGGGGCTGGTGCCTCTCTCCAGTGGTCTAGACAGGCGGGGTTCAACCTGGACAGGTTGCCAGTCCATTGCAGGGCAACACGAGGACAATGTTAGAGAAACCAATCAACCCAACAGAGAGAGAGAAAGTGGAGGATTGCTGCTGTTCCGTTTCTGCTCAACATTCAACATTTTTAGGATGAACCACAACAATCTGTTTGCACTCACACTCAAACCGTTTTTTCTCCATCTGTATAATCTGACGCCCTCCAAAAACAGCACTGCTGCTTTTCTAAATTGTCTTAAATATAACTTGGCATCTGGAAAAGGCTAAAGTCAGATTCACAAAAGGGGAACAAGTTCTATCCGTTCCAGTCGAGCTGTGAGAGCATGATGAGTTTTACCTGCATCCTGGACTTTTCTTAAATGGGACAATAAATAACTTCTGAGTTGGATCAGAGATTTCTACGCTTGCTAAATGAAACCTGAGACTAGTTGGGTCATGTAGCAGAGCTACGAGGCTCGTAAAGGGTATTCTGGAAACAACCGCTTTAGAGGAATGAAGATATTTTTGTTATATTGGCCAAATCAAAGTCTTCATCCAAGACTGAACTTCGTTATTCCTTTCTATGGAAAGGGAGGAATCAGGAGAAACATCCTCTTTCAAGCTTCGACAATGGTGGGCTTGAAGGAGGACTGACAGAGAAATCTCAGACAAAAACTCTACTTTTATCCACAGAAACGGTAATTTTAAAGAAAAATTCTGCTTGGCTCGTTTGAGAATTTTTATTAGCTTTTGAAAAGCAAACAAGTTTTTAAAAATCTGCCTTGGTTGCAGATCAGCAGCATGATACAGATGTAGGAGTCAATCAGGTCAGCTGAAATCAGTAAATCACCCAAAATCAGCTCCAGGGTCAGAGTTCATGAGCCTCAGGGAGGAAGTTGCTGCTCGGCATCGCTGCCTGGGCTGGGAGGCTGCTATTGGGCCATTCCCATCTGTACCGGGTTGGGTAGTCCCAGTCGGCCCCAGCCTGGCCCGGTTGATTCCACACATCCTTGTCTTAAGCCCATGTGGGCTGATTCTACCCACCAATCAGAGGCTTGCTCTAATGGAAGGTGTGAATTTGCTGTCAGCAGTGGGTGTGTTGGCCCTGGTCGGCCTGAAGCAGACCCCCTCGAGAAGAGGGCTGAGAATGAGCCTTGGTTGGCCCGGAAAAATACCAGGCCACCCAGATATGTAACCTACTCTACCCGGCCCGGGCTGACCCGGTACAGATGGGAATGGCCCACAAGTCTTCTGTCTGAACGAAGGAAGGTGAAGTTCCTGGACTGATGGAGTTTGGTGCTGCTAATGCTGGAGTAGCTGTTATAGATGTCAAGATGCTCTCCACCACCCACCACTAAACACCAGCAGCTTGGAGAACAGAATCCATCTGACCTGTTAACTACTACTGGCCTGGAAAGGTCAGAGGTCACGTCAGAAATCCACCAACATAGTTCAGCTTTTCCTCACTGATGCCTGAAGGTTCTCACCCCTCAGGAGCTCCTCCACCTCCCTCCGCTGTCTTCTACAAATGTGATGTCCTCTTTGGAATCATCGTGGGAGTTTGTTGGTGACATCAACCACCAGAATATTACCACTAATAATTAAACTTGTAGGGTTAAACTTCTCGTTTTCTTTTGGTACCAGAATTATATCAAATGAATCAAATATTAAAACGTGTTAAAATGCAGATTTCCAGCAGCCTGCTGCCCAGTCTGAACTAAAACCATTCCACACCTAAAAGTGTAATTTTTTTATCCAATTAGAAAAACAAAATGTAGAACATGTATTTATTAGAACGCTAATAAAAACATTTGCTCTCTATTCTTGGCTCGGGATGATTTGATGGTTCTATAAAAATACATATTCAATAGTGGAGAGGTTAAAATTTCTACATTTTCTCCCCCGTTTCCCAACAAATGTAACAGTTCAGTTAAGCGTTTGACAAAAAATATTGTCAAAATATTGCTTTCAGCCGCTCTGCTCCTCGTCTCTGGAACTCACTTCCCCCAGACATCAGGAACATCGACAGTTTTACCCTTTTCAAAACAAAACTCAAGACACATATGTTTAAATCTGCCTACAACCTCTGATTTTATTGAACTGTTTCTCTCTGGTTTTTTTTTCTTGTTTGGGTTTTATTATTGTTTTATTGTATTTTATTACGTGTTTTCTGTAAAGTGACCTTGGGTGTTCTGAAAGGTGCTTTTAAATAAAATGTATTGTTATTAAAAAGGGAACCGAGATGAACAAGTAAAGCAGCTTGTATTTTAATGCAGTACAAATCTGTATGACAAGAGGCAATATTAACAATATTCACACCTGCTGTGTAGGACCGTTAAATCGTCTCCCCCTCGGTGTGCTGCGCAGGGTCAGACCCCACCACAGCTAGGGCTGTGGTGCATTCTGGGATAAAGGAGGGCACACAGACATCTAACAGCCCCGCCCCCAGGAAACCGTACCAATCAGCTGACTGAACACTCCCACCTGGTTGGTAACACACCATGTTTCATTTGTGTGTTTGACTGTGGCAGAGGAGGTAAATTCCCACCCTGAGGGTTGCAGGTTTGAGCCCCACTCAGTCTGACCGTCGTCGTGTCCTTGGGTGAAACACTTCACCCTGTCAGCGAGGCAGAGGGCAGCTGTGGCTACGATGCAGCTCATCACCACCAGCGTATGGATGGGTGGATGACTGGGTTAGTCGTAAAGCGCTTTGGGGAGCTGTACAACTCTAGTAGGATATAAATGCAGGTCATTTACTGTTTTTTTTTCTTCTCTTTTCGAATTTAAGCTACACATAAAAATACAAGTTAATGAAGTGACTCGGACCAAACAACAGGTGAGGAAATTAGCTGAAGTAAAAATAAGGAAAGAGAGCAACTACCCTCAGTTTGACAGAATAGGATTTTATGTTTTTCTAACTTGTTTCCTGATTGTGTTAAAAATACAAAATGAAAACAGGTGCACAGGAAACAAGTCACAAGAGTCGGATGTGTCTAACCTGACTTGGCTGATACAACTGCAGGAATCACAATGTTAGGGTTTGAAAAGCAACACAAGGCCTGTCTGATGTGGAGTTGCTGCTACACAAACATCAGGTTCTGGTTGCTTCCGTTGTTCATGATGATAGTCAGTTGGTGGAACATATGGGAGTGATGATCTGACAGCTACAAAGGTCCGTTTCCTGTAAATGTTCAGGCTGACTCGTGTCGCATTCCTTACGGTCTCAGGAATGCCGCTCCAGCTGCTCTAACTCTTCATGTAAGAGCCCGGCCCGGGCCAGCTTCTCCAGCTGTTCTTTTGTTGGCTGCTTTATTTCCCCCGAGTCCACTTTCTGCTGCAGCTCCTCCACCTGCCGCAGCTTCTTTCTCACATTTTTTATCTTCTTGGCCTTTTCGGCACCTGCTGCTGACGAGTCATCAGCAGGGGAGACAGACGTCTGGTTCTCAGACCCGCCTCCTTCTGAGATGGACACATTCTCCACAGCACTGCTCACAGACTCCACCTCTGTGTCGCCGTCCTGGTCCTGCAGGTGCTGCTGCTGTTTTCGTTTCTCTTTACGTTTCATGTTGCGTTTGGCCGACTTTGAAAGACCAGCCGCTTCGCCGTCGCCGCAGCCGGGGATCTTCTGCTGCTGCTGGGAGGGGGCTGCCTCGGATGGGCTCAGGCCTGGAGGCAGGTCTGGCTTGCTTTTGAAAAACTTCACGTATTTGTTTTCATACCTAAAACAACAGAAACACAACTTAAACACCTGATTCAGGTTTACTGAGACCCACAAAGTAAACGTGTAACCCCAGAAAACGCGGGCTGGGCTACAGGAACACGCCACAAAGAAAATGGCACAAGGACCAGTTCTTCTGTCGGGTCTGACTTCTGAAAGTCCGCAGTCATGTGACCAATCCAGCATTGGAGGGGTATGGACCAATTCTGTTATCTGAATGTGATAACACAATCCTTTGCACTAGCTAATAGGAGAGATGATGAGGACAACCACTGACCAGGTCACTCTGAGCACCACTCATTATCCAGTCGGGTCATGTGGCTCAGAGCTGAAGGACAAAATAATGTTAAACTGGAAAATGAGAGCAGAACAGTTCCACCTCCAGCATCAAGGTCCAACATTTCAGCCCATCCAACCGAGCTCTGATGAAGACACTATCCATGACCCCCTGTATGCACGTAAAAGCTAAAACCGATTACCAAGTTCCTGTTTCATTTCGATTTTGAGAGAGATAAGATTGGCTAATGTTGCAGAAACCTACTCAGCTTCACTCGCTGCTCGGCATCCATCTACACTGAATTAAGACGTTTCACCAGGAGAGTCTGATTTGACTTCCACACGCAGCACAACAGCCCTTCATAGCGTTTAGGTACAGATTAGGGCAAAAGGGTTGAGAGGTGACTTACACAGGGACCTCCTCCTGGGGCACGTAGCCATCCTTCACACGCCTTGGCTTCCTCCAGGTCCCATCAGGCCGCTGGGTAGCAGCGATATATTTACCTGAAGAGCAACAGCAGAACTTTTAAAGGATGATTGTGGTTTTAGTTTGGGTGATCAATGGATCTAATTTACATTTCCTTTTTTTTATGCTCACTGTGTTTCATTACTATGATAAATGTGAGAAATATGTCCAGATTAAAAAAATAAACATAAAACAAACCACCACATGGAGATAAGTGCTAACCCTGAATAAGGATTTTATTCATTGATTTACTGTGGTACAGTATCTCCTCTGCAGCATAGGATCACATAGATTAAATAAAAACCTATGGGCCACTCTTGGACCTTTACTGTACACGTGAAAACTCTACAACCATGAAGGCATGAAAGGATGCTGGAAGTTCAGCAAACCACAAGATTTCACACTGTGTGTGAATCTGAACCAAAGGAACAGAATGAGAGTATGCTACACCAGTGCATGCTTTCTATGTTCCCTGCACAAACACACCTGGTTTGAATCAATGGGGGATCAACGGTCTTCTGAATTGACTGATTCAGTCACTGAACCAGGTGTGATGGAGCAGGAAAAGGCTAAAACATGCAGGGCTGAGGCCCTCCAGGACTGGGATTGAGGAATCTTTATGATAAAGCTCATCTGAATCTTTAAAAATTGTTAAAAGTACTTGAAATGACACCTGTTGTGACATTAAGTTTATTAATAATTACATGGTGGTAATCCACTTTGAACAGGCTCTACTCTGACTATCTAGTCATCAGTCAGTCAGTTCTGCAGCCTACACTGTTGACCATCACCTGCTACTGGAGAGGCTGAGTGACTGGGTGGATCAGGATCTGCTATGGAGTGGTTCTCCTCTTATCTACTGAGTGTTCCTTCTCTGTGGCCGTCTTCAAGTTCCGGTCCACCACCTACCTCACCCATGGCGTCCCACAAGGTTCAGTGCTGGGGCCTTTACTCTTCCTCCTTTACCTGCTTCCTCTTTAGCACATCCTGAGCTCTTTTAATGAAATATCCTACCATCTTTATATCCAACTGTACATCTCCTTTAAGCCCCATGAGATGTCTAAGCTGCAGCTGTTACACACCTGCTTAGACTCTATCAAAGCCTGGATGGCTGGGAACTTTCTACAGCTGAATGAAGATAAGACAGATCCTCGTCTGTGCTCCAAACAAGCTGGTTCCCAAAGTCAGAGACTCTCTTGGTCAGCTTGCTTCTCACATCAAACCCTCTGTCAGGAATCTTGGCGTGACCTTTGACCCAGCTCTCACCCAGATTCTCACGTCAGTTCTCTTGTTCGCGCTTCCTTCTTCCATCTCAGGAACATTGCTAAGCTGAGTCCCATTCTGTCCCGCTCTGAACTTGAGACAGTTCTCCACACCTTCATCTCCTCACGTTTAGACTACTGTAACTCTCTTTTCACATGTCTGAGCAGAACCTCCCTGAACCGTCTACAGCTGGTTCAGAATGCCTGTGCTCGGCTTCTGACCAAGTCCTCCAAACACACCCACATCACCCCGCTTCTCCTCCAGCTTCACTGGCTGCCGGCTAACTTCAGGGTTCGTTTCAAGATCCTGGTTCTGGGTTTTAAGGCGTTACATGGACAGGCAACATCACACAATGGTGATCTTTTCAGTACCTACACCCCCAGCAGGTCCCTGAGGTCCAGTGATCAAATCCTACTGGCTGTGCAGCACACCAGGCTAAAGACCAAGGGGTGACAGATCATTTGCTGTTGTGGCCCCCAGACTCTGGAAATCTCCCCATGAGCCTGATATCAGTGGACTTAGTGGTCTCCTTTAAAAAGCAGCTGAAAACTCACCTGTTCAGGCCAGTTTTGGTGTGACCTTTGTGTGACCTCCTGCTCATCCTCTTTTTTCTCACTAGCTTCTCTTCATGCTGCTGTTACTACCAATTCTGTCTGGATCCCGAATTACCTTTCTCTTACACCTTTTTTATCTTCCTTCACTTTTTTTATCTAAACTTTTCCTTCTCCCCATTTTTATTATGATATGTTTCAATATTTTTAAAAAGTTGGACAGCTAAAAGTCTCAATGCAAAAAAGAAAGAAAAACAAAACAGATGCCTTTTTTTATTCTTAGTAAGTCAAACTTCTGTTAAAACAGCTGCAAAGTGGGATTTATTGACAGTATTTTTGGATATTTATTCATAAAATTGCTGAAAGCTTAACACAAAACCATCACTGACTTCCTTTTAGAAATAAACTAAGAAGTGTGTAATTTTTAAGTTATTAAAAATGGAACCTAATCATCTGTACAGACTCATGTGGACACCCGAATGTCAAGTATGCTGCACTCATAATGATTTAAAGCAATCCAATATAATAAATATATTAGAGGACCCACTTGGAAACGAGATGGTTCATCTCAAGTGGTTTGTCCTCTCGAAATATAAGTTAATAAATAAAAATATCAAATATTACTACAATAAACTGATGTATATGGACATGGTGGGACTGTTAAATTGCCATTTTCGTTATCAGGCATAATTTCCTCTCTTTTGAAATGAAAATATTTAAAATATGAACAATAATAGCAATATTATATTAAAAATATTATTTATTGGAGTCCAAAACAAGACATGTTCATGTCACTGACAACGATGGAGACGCATCACAACATTGGCTTAAATGCTAGGTTATGCTAGCTGGCTAACTTAGCAACAGCTAGCATTGCCACACAAAGCTTTTATTAAAATTCTACAAAACGCAAAGTCTCAAATGTAGAGATGTAAGTGTTAACCTGGTAGTAGTATGTTTTAAAATGAAAGCCGTGTTTATTGTGGTATTTTGAGCAGCAACAAGCTACGTACCGATTTGTGAATGAACACCACCACATAACCTACACTTTAACTCGGTTGTGTTATTTAAAACCTATAACCATTAGCACCCCAGATGTAGAAGATAAAAGGGAAGAGCTGAGAGTGTAGTTATGATAAATAAGGACTGGGATATAGCTGGACCAATGTCTGCCACATGCCCTAGTCTTACCAGATTCATCTGTGACATACGGGGTTGCCATTTTAGTGTAACGTGCTGCTCCACTCCCCTCTGTCGGTCTGCGTCCCCTAAACGTCCACACGTCCGCTTTGATCTCACACAGAAGAATAACCACAGCTTGCACACATTTGCTTTAAAGTTTTCTTTCACTCGAGCTGGAAGCTGTCATGGCAGCCGCTACACGTTAAAACCTGCGGCGGGCGGTACAAGGTAGCGAAACGAGCAAACCCCAATTTTTTCGAATCCGGAAATGATGACATGAGTTGCCAGGTTTGATTTGTCACGCTCTTTTCAGTGTTAAAAATTGATCAACTAAGTGAAAGTAGCATTCAAATTGGAACATTCACAGTATGATGGATGTATATCTTGTTTCTGTTTTTTGTTTTTTTGCATTCTCTGCTCAAATAAATTATTATCTTATTATCCTGACTGAGGCATACTGGTACAGAAAAGAATCAGCAAAACAACAAATTGGGACATTCTTGAAATGAATTAAGATAATAATAAATTTGTTTCAAAAATAGCAAGCTTTGGTTGTCTCCTATGCGTGAACTCAGATGTGTTGAAAAGGGGCTTGGTTGAATCCAACCTGGCAACCCATGAAGTAGCCTGTTGGAGGAAAATCGTCTCTTGGCGTTAAAGACTGCTTGCTGGCGCTGCGACCTGCGGTAAGCTGTTTCCAGAACCTACTGTCCACTTTGCTGCCAACATCAAGTGAGTATTAAATAAAGTTTAGCTAAGATCTCAGCGGGATTCATCTAGGTTTAAAGCAGGTTTTACCGTAGCTTTGCAGTTTAACGCTAAAGTTGAGTAGCTCAGGGATCGACGTATGAACAAAACACACTGCTAGTTGCGGGCTAACGTTAGCTGGAGCTACGTGTAAAGGTCCACCTTGAAGTAGTGCGTTTGCACAGTTTGTTGCTACTTAATGCTAATGTGTATTTGAGCGTGTTCCATTAAGATTTGCAGATAATAATAGTTGGCTAACAACACGCTCGCTAAAATAGAAACGGAGTGTTTTGTAACGTTAGCACGCTAATGTTATCTAGTTAACGACTGATGGGCTGCTCTGAAATGGTCTGAATCTGAAATCCTCATTTTGCAACTCTAATTTATCTTTATATCAGAATGATGCAACATTTGTAAGTGGTAATGTGTATAGAGTTTAGGTAATCCAGGTAATGTCAGATTTTCCATCTAGATGACAGTTATGTGGCTGCTAGTATTTCTTAGGTGGTCAGTCTTTGTCGTGAAGCTGTTTTCACAAAAGAAGGACTTACATTTCTTTGGAGAGGAGAAATCTCGTTTAGGTTTGTGAGTTTTAACGTTGATAGTTATTTCTGCCTGGATCAGTACAAACTGCTTGATCTAAACGATTATCCATCTCCTCCCAACAATTCCTCTTTATTTGTAGTCTCTTAATTCTGTTCCTCGGTATCTAGTTAGCTGAACTTCTCTCTTAGAAGATGAAATAATAATGGATGCTGGTCATGATGTAAAACTCAGTAATGTAATTTACAGTCATGTGCTTTGTTAAATATGCAGGTGCCTATAAGGAGATCTGAGTAAATCTGGGGACAGTAAATCAGTTTTAGAATATTTAGTATCAGATACTTTCTCACAGGGACTTTTTTCATAAAGGGCATCACTAGTGCTTATTGCATGACATAAGATTGATTTTCTGCACATAAAAATTTGCAAAGCCCTTGATGAGTAACAGTGTTTTCTGCAGCTGATTCCTACACTTTGATTGTAACCTAATCTTTATCTTTACTTTCCTCCTGGTTGTTTGCTGGTGTTGCTGTGACCTCTCGCGACCTCAGTTTGACTCACTGGTGGCAACAATCTTTAATTTAATTCACCTTAAGAAAAATTTCTCAGATCAAACACAAGTGCACCCGGTGCACTTGATTATTCAAGCACCATCCCTCTTAATAAACATAATGTATCCTAGTGTTCGCATGAGTGGCATCTGCAGCGTCACTGGCTGTTTGTGCTGACGTCCGTAAAGGTGTGGTGGAACCGGGACTGTGGCATGCCAAGTCCTAATCAAGAGGGTGTTGGTTTGCACGTCCCTTTAAGTTTCTTTTTCTAGAGAACTAGGACCAGAAAGGGAAACCCTGGAGGGAGGGCTTCCAGAGGTCTGGTTGGAGCTTCCTAAAGGGCTAGGGTGGACGGTGATTAAGCGTTTTCTCCATTTTTCCTTATTTTTTATTTTATTTTATTTTTTTATAAAAAAAGCCTTTGTGTCATCATTTGGACCTATGCTGGTTTCTTTATCCCAACTTGCCGTTTCATTTACCGTAACGAAAATAAGTCATAAAAATATCCAAAGGTCAAAAACCAGCTTTTTCTTCCAGACACGTTGCTGCTGATATCATCAAATAGCAATCTGTACAGCCCTTACACATTTGGGTTCAAGGAAAATTAAAATACTTGTAGTAATTTTTAAGTTCTGCTAGTTTCTCAGATGTGTGAAATAAACCCATCACCTCTGGTCGTTTTTCACCCACCGGTCCTGCTGTGGCCTGGGAAAAAAGACTCTCCCCCAAGGATGTCACCCTACTAACTTTTTTCTTTTTTCCTAAAAAATCAACTGTTGCGGTTCTGCCAATGACTTTATTGAGAGCAGATTTAGCTCGAGAAAGCTCTGCTAGGGAGACGACACTTTATTGAAATCTGTTTTTCATTTATTTTTCCCTGCCAGAGGAAACCGATTTCTTTTTATTTGCATTCCGTTTATCTTTCAGGGCTTACTGAAGTAAAGGTTTTTATTTTTACTTTTACCTTGTACAACATGAATATATATACCCTTTTAACACAAGTTTACCATGCTCTTTGTTAAACTAATTCTGATCACCAGTTAAGATTATGTTTTAATCCCTACAGGTTTGATTGAAGTTTGTTGAAAAGGGAAGAGACGACGCTCAATCTCAGCCTGAATGCTGACGTCCTGGATCTGAACCTTTTCCTTCCACTCTGCCTGCCAGCTGTGAGCTTTGTTGTCTTCTTTCCCAAGAACTCCAACTTAAAGTCTCTTTATTTGACCTAAAGACTTTTAAAGGGTTAGATTTCAGGGAAGACCTCCCTGGATTCTCCTGTGTGACAACATGGCAAAGAAAAACAGCCAGAAAGGTACGTTTCTAATTGTTCCTAAAATGAAACATACCTTGACCCTCTTGTCTAGTTAAAGCTGCAATAGCAAATCTGCAGAACAAGCTAGCCTTCAGACACGGCCACAGAACCCTCGCGCCTCCTGTTGGCTTTCATCTTTAAGCCGCATCCGCCAAATACCAGAGCTAGCATTGCCAGAGTAAACTAAATAGTGCTAATCATCGTTTGCCGTTTTCCAAACGTATTTTGTTGTTCCTGACTTCTATTGGTGTTTTTCTTTCTGGACTCTGGTAGTTTGTCCTAAAGTTGAAGTGATAGCAGCTGGCTGTTATATATAAAGTATATTATTAAAATATATTTATTATTAAAATATATTTATAGCTATGCTACGTTAGAACATTATTGTTTTTTTTTCAGGTTTGCTATTGTAGCTTTAAAGTGACAGTGTGTATTTTTTCTGGTGATTGTGTTGGAGTAAGACCTTACCAACAGATGCCTATTAGGGTCAAAAAGCCCTGGGGAGTGCAAATTTTAGATAAATATCTAACACATCAGACTTCCTTTCTTCACTGGCAACAAGTGAAGAGGTAAAACAACATTTAAAAATGACTAAAGTTTTGTAACCATTTGTTGCAAATCAGTAAACTAATTTTGTCCTCATGGGCTCCTGTAAAAGGAAACGTGGCATCTAGGATGGCGTCGCCCAGACTTAGACCCGCTCCCATGTATTTTAGACCTGATTTTTATGGTTATATGTTATGAAGCCTCCAATATTTTTCAGTAACTGGGCATCATTTCATTCATTTTCAACAACATTTTGATGGATGTTTCAAGAAATTAATGGTAAAAACTACACATTGTCCCTTTTAAGATGAGTCTTTTTTAAGGTTGTCTGATGAACTAATTTGTTTATGTTTATTTATTTGGCAGACGCTTTTATCCTAAGCGACTTACAATTTATAACCTATAGGGCATGTTGTGATCTGTGTGAATTTGTATGTAGATGTAGTGATAGTTAATGGTATTTTACCCCGTTCCACTTTGCAAACAGGCTTTTATTTTGTCTTGCTAGCTTACCAATGTGAACTAGAGCCCTGCGTTGGGACTCAGGTCCTGCAGGTCCCACTGGACCCTACATAAATCTTAACGGGTGGTTTTCAGACGGCTGGATTGTCATTGGGATGAAGAGTACACCTGATGTTGGTAACGGCGCTCTAGATTGAGACTTAGGTTGCAAGGATCCACGGGACCCAAAGTGGATCTCGCGGGAGCCAGTAGGCGGGAGCAGGTGGCTAAAAATAGACCATGAGTCCCAACATTGTTGGTAGGATAGAGAGTACAGCTGAGGTTGGTAATGAATGAAGACCTTTAGGGGATAAAACTATAGAAAATGACATAAAATGTAATATCTAATCGACGGATGCACCAAAATGAAAATTCTTGGCTGAAACCTGAAACTCAGAAAGAAATTATGTTGATAATTAACCCTTTGATGCATAGTGGTCACTACAGTGGACAGGAATTCAAAATTGTCATTTATTTATTTTTGCTATTAAGCACAGCTGTTGAAGACTTTATTGCATTCGAGCCCCTCCATTTGGACTTCAGTAAGTCAAGCCAACATATTTCATGTTCAGAATGCACGCTTTCCACTGAGGTGGACATGTAATAAATTATTTGTAAATTAACAAAACATTACAAAAGGTATTTGTTGAAATTTGTTTCATTCGCACCTAAAAATGAATGAAAAAATTGTTCAAAAAATCATGGTTGAAGATTTCATAATTCATGCATCAAAGGGTTAAAACTATAGCATTAGGACTGTAAAATTAACCCTTTACCCCCAAATTCCACTACCTCCGCTCGCACGAACTCCGAAGCAAAATCGGTCCCGTTGTAGTCTATCAGAGCAATTCCACTACTGCGGCCGTGCTCCGGCAGTGTGGCGCAGTGCGCCGCCCTCTGTTCCGGCGTCCGGCAAAAATAGAATTAATCCTATTTTTGCCAGACGCCGGAGCACCTCCGCAGTCAATGGACAGGAATCACAACGGCCCAACAGGAAAAGGAGCAAGCACAACTTCCGTTTTTCACAATAAATCGATAAACAAACAGCGTTTTTTGTTTCTTTTGCACAGGTTTAACAACTTTTAACAACTATCAATGGCGGCTGAACTTAAAATGCACAAAGATAAGCCATAAATACAGTTTCCACTATCAAAGTAGTCACACTTTGTTGATCCAAACACTGCTGATCTCTCAACACACATGATGGGCAGATTAATTCATTTCGATGCTTCTCCCACACAACGGGTGTTTGGATCTAACTTCCGCGTTCATTGCTCAGACTGTGTCGCAAGATCTCGAAAATCCAGCGCATGCTTGTTTGCCCACCTCAGGTCTCCGCACCGGAGCGGAGCCGTTGTAGAGCGGGTACAGTATAATTTGAATTCGGAAGTGAGCGGCGGCGGAAAGCGGGGGCGGACCGGAGCGGAGCGGAGGTAGTGGAATTTGGGGGTAACGCGTCAAAATTGTAATGTTGTTTAACGAGCCATAGCTGCAAATATAATCCCTCTTGAAGTTATTACTTCACACCAGAAGGTCGTGGAGATGTATAACTTCAATCTGAGCAACACTTTTGGTGTTTCTATTGAAGTTTAAAGAGTTTGAAAACTTCCCCTCATCCAGAGGCTCCCGACTGTTCACTGTTGACAAAGCTCTTTGGTCATTGCTGATTCTGAAGAGTAGCACTCACCCTCTCATAAAGATATTCACTCGTTCAGAAACGAAAACGGGGTTCAGCTGACAGCCTGTTTCGACCGTGTTTACTGTGATTTTGGTGTTTCGGCCGAAAACCGAAAATGTGTTTTTGGGTAATTTTTGGCTGGAAATTTTCCATGACTTAGTTTCCAGTGCATCTCTAATCTAATAATCTAATCTTCTGAAACAAAGACTTTATGCATATAGGGATATGCGATTACAAAATACAGATTTTTATTAGTTAATAGCTCTGCCTTTACAAATTTTAGCAGGACCCGCGGTAATGGTGGTGGGATTCAGCGGAAGCGGGATTAAACGATTTTCCTGTGCAAAGCTCTGGTGCGCTCTTGTTTTCTTTTGAAGTCCAAACTCGGATTCATTTGTTTTACAAAAGTGTAAAAATAATGGTAGTCCAAGGGCAACACACACGTTATATTTACTATGCCTCATGCACTCTGAGGGGCAGTGGACAGTGGTACTTAATGGATTTGTTTCTAAAATTTTAATCATTTATGTCCATGAAATATTTGCCTTTTCATGCCCCCTGTTTGCAACAGCATCACTGTCCATCGTGTTTATTTCATGTGGTCAACAGATCAGATAGAAAATGTTTAATTAGCTGATGTTTGAAGGGTTTAAGCTAAATATTGATTTGGTTTTGTTCGATACAGATCTATGCATTTTTATGGTAATCCTTGTTAAATCTGGCACGATAAAAGTTGTTTTAATGACTTTATACATAAAGCATAATCAGACAACTCTGTGGTGACCGTATCCTTAAAGTGTGATCTCTGGTTATTGGTTCCCACCTTAAAGAGTACCGTAATTTCCGGACTACAGAGCGCACCTCAATATAAGCCGCACCAACAAAAAAAAACGACGGCGCCAAATGGCAGCCTCGCCTCTGTCAGACCTCCCCAGGGCGGCTGTGGCTACAAGTAGCTTACCATCACTAGCAGTGTGTGAATGTGAGAGTGTGTGAAAGCGTCTTTGGGTGTCTAGAAAAGCGCTATTTAAGTTCAATGCATTATTATTATTATGATTATTATTATTATTATTATAACATAAGATCATTAGACGGATAAACGCTACATGGAATTTTTTCGTTGTTGTTTTAATTCAACAAAATTAATTTTAAACACGGGTGAACGTTCCCGCAAGTTTAGAAAAGAAAACAGCACTGATAGCATTCATATTTATGGATGGTTATAAGATAAAATAGGAACTGACACGTTATTACTGGTAATTTGCATGTTTAGAAGAAAAGAACAGCGCTGACACAGCATTAATAAGCCCTGGATGATTAGAAAATAAAAACTGCACACAAAACATGCCTGGTTAGTAAATAAAACACACTTGCCTACCAGAAAAAGTCATTCGCTCTCATCTTCCTCTTGTACACTAAAGCCATTAAAGTCCTCTTCTTCAGTGTCGGAGTTGAACAGCCTCAGAAGAGCTTCGTCACATACCTTTTCTGTGGCGATGTCAGCGTTGCTGTCATCATCCCCGGGTGAAGCTGGCTTGAATGAGTTCTTCCCGCTGCCGTCTCCAGCGCCGAGCCATGGATTCATTCATGCCAAGCTTACGTGCGGCAGCACTGTTTCCCTCCTTTACTGCCAGATCGATGGTCTTCAACTTAAATGCGGCATCATATGAACTCATACGTGTAGTTACCATGATGAGGGGGTAAAAAATTCTTCGTCGTGCCGGCTGCTTGCATGTGCTAAATTAAAATGAGCACTTTCTACGATTTCCGGTTTTGACTTCCATCTGTTTCACTTTCTGTTAAAGCGCCCCCTAGTGGCAGGTGAAGGAAAATCTTCAGTAAAGCCGCACCTCATTATAAGCCGCATGGTTCAAAGCTTGGGGGAAAAGTAGCGGCTTATAGTCCAGAAAATATGGTAAATGCAGTTATTAGGATTACTAAATAATCAATAGGATTTTTATATTCAAGTGTTTCTGATTTAGAAATCAGTTGTTTGTAGAATTGTGATGTGGAAGCTAACAGATGTTTGCCACGGGTTCCTAAAATGACAGATTTGCTCATTTAAACCTTTTCTGTATTCTATTTTATTTTGTTGCTTTGGAACCCCACAGTGACACTGACCTGGGTTCACTGCTGGAGAAAAACACTTTCACAAGGACTCAGCAGTTCTTGTGGTCTTTAAATGGCCCTAGATGAACTTTGGACCCTGTGTGCGCGTGCACATGCATAAATCATAGCTAATCTCAGAACTTTTGGGACAGATTTGTCTTTTTGACATGATTCATATCAACTGTTTTTCCAGAAAATCTTTGCAGATTGGTCCGGTGGTTCTTTTGTTTTGCAAATGAAGTTCTGTCTTTGGTGGCTTGCCGATGCAGGTCAGGGCCTCAGCAGATGGGGAGAAGTGATGTTTTGAAATGTTATCCACAGATACCTCTGGTGTGGTGTTCGACACGCGTTCTAAGATGGTGATGTCCCAGGGAGGAACAGCCGAGAGGGTGAAGGAGAAGGTAAGATGTGCTCTGGACGCTTCAGGCTGATTTCAAACAGGACCTGATAAAACTTTGTGTCACAGTGTAGCCTGACCTGCTCCTAAACCTGCATCCAACCAGCTCTGTTTACACTGAACTATCATCACCCTGATGTCAGACTACCCTGGTACGATTGTGAGCTTGTTTAGAGCTCTTTATCAGGAAGGGAACAAAAATAAGGTAGATAATGGTTTACTGAGGTGGTGTAAGTGTGTCAGCACTTTAGGAAGGGACATAAATGTTAAGCCGTCATTAACAAACCTGCTTCCAAAGCCCTGGGTCACGACACACACTGGAGAAGTACGGGCTGAGTTGGAAAACATTTATTTTTTTTTGTGACAACAATGAAATGACTCAAATATGCTAAATTTGTTTAAAATGGAACTTACAGTTTAATCGCCAAGTCTGGGGGAATAGGATGAATAATTATAGTTATTGATACTTTATTGATCACTTTTGGGTTTGGCCCATCCCTGAGGAGCAGTGAGCTGCATTTTGTACAGGATGATCATAAGGGCTGCCGGGTCCTGGGCTCAGACTGGTCAGTGTCCAGTCACTGGCCCCTCCCTCCTGAGTCACGTCCGACACTTTAAAACAAGCAAAAAGTTTTAAGTTTCAAAGGTTGCAACAGGAAAAAGGGTAGAGTGCCTTCTCCAGGTCAGGGACGAGGACCTGCCCCAAGTCGAGGAGTTAAGTATCTCACGAGTGAGGGAAAGATGGAGCTGGAGATCAGTAGGTGGATTGGTGCCGTGTTTGCAGTGATGCTGACGTACCGGTCTGTCGTGGTGAAGAGATCGATCTATGTTCCAACCCTCGTCTGTGGTCACAAGCTTTGGGTAGTGACCGAAAGAACAAGATCATGAATACAAGCGGTCGAAATGAGCTTTCTGTGTCTGCGGGTGCGAGGTGATCAGTTTCTCAGCTGGCCTGGGAACTCCTTAGGAGGATCTCACCAGTTAGTTCTGACTCCCAATGGATTGTTCTAGAAAACCTACAGAAAAGCAGCCAGGAGGTGTCTGAACCATCTCACCTGACTCATTTTGATAGCGGCGCTCCTCCTCCAAGGTCAGGTGAGGTCACCCTGTTAAAAAAAACTGATTTCACCTGTTAGTATGGTTCTTTTACCATGGGTTAGGGATGGAAAGTTGGCACACCATTGAATTTAGATCTCAGCTTCTACATCATCACAACAGACCATAGCTAAGTCCAGATTACTGAAGCCGGAGCCCTGATCTGTCAGTCTGTCTCACTCTGTGCTACCATCACACATGAGAGAAACCTGAACTCCTTCACTGGAGGCAAAGACTCGAACCATCTTTTCCTGGTTGAGATGTTCTCGGGTCTGGAGGAGCTGACTCTAATCCTTATTGCGTCACCCTCAGCTGCAAACTTTTAATCTAATATTAAATTAATTAGAACCAGGAACTAATTAGAAACATCTCTCCCTGAAGCCTCATTCTCAGGTCTCTGTGTGGGTTTACCCTTATTTAGAGAATGCAGCCTAAAATGCATTTCCTGTTTAGTTTACGCAAATTACCAACATAAAAAAAAAAGTCTCCAAATCTAAATAAAAATTCTGTCATTTGAGCTTCAAAGTATGAGATTATAAAGAAAATGATGCGTAGGAACCCTGTGGGCTAACTTACAGGAAGCACCAAAACACAAAGTCTTGCGCTAATAATGTCAGAGGTTTAGCTGTCCTTCACTGTAGAGTTTAAATCTAAACAGGTCCGCTGCCGTCTGTAAACCACACATGACCTGAGTGTTGAAACACCCTCAGGGTCAGCTTTCAGACAAAAAGGAAGTAAGTGGAAGAATGTTTGTTTCCTTCACAGATCAGCGCTGTGAGAGCGGTCGTCCCCAACAAAAGCAACAACGAGATAGTGCTGGTGTTGCAGCATTACGAGAACTGTGTGGACAAGACGGTGCAGGCTTTCCTGGAAGGTATGAGGATGTCTGAGTTTAGGCTCCGCTCTCGTTCCCATAAGGGGCGGAACTCTTTGCTTTTACGTCTCGGAGCTGTTTTCATATTGTTTGATGCTCACTAGTTGTTTCATTTCACCCTCACATATTTAGAACTGTAAGCATTTTTTTCTTCACGCATGTCATGCTCTGCATTCGGGCCCTGCTGCGGGCCTTCTTGTCACTGGTTTAATTATAGAACAGGGCTGCACCTGCACGTCACGCTGCTTTGTGTCTTGTTTAGCGGCATCTAAAGAATGCCTCTCATCCTCTTATATTGGGATGGTGCTCAGAGGGCGTTACCCGGTGGCGCGTCACTGATCAAAGCTGTCGTCGTTTTTCTGATTTACGCTGCAGGGAGTGCAGATGAGATCCTGAAGGAGTGGAGCGTCACCGGCAAAAAGAAGGTGAGTTAAAATGGCTTTGACTTTGTGCATCGGAGTCGTCGTCAGTTATAGAAGGGTGGGGTGATTTGAATTGTCTTGATGTTAATAGAGTTCTTTGGTGGGATCAGCGCCGTCTCACGCACTCATCTATAAACTGACTGACATGAGGTTTTAAATAAAGATATTAACTGATCTATCCTCATCCAGCCCAAGAAGAAAAAGAAGCCAAAGCCCCAACCAGAGGTCTCTGCTCAACCTGCTTCCCCCGAGGCCACACCCCCCGGAGAGAGCAAGGATGAGATGAACGGCTTTCACGCCAACGGATCCGTGATGGACGGGGAGTCTCTCGATTCGCTGAGCGAGCAGCTGGACTCCGCTTCTCTAGATGCAGCTGAGCTGGACTCTGAAAACGCTGCATCCGAAACCACCGGTAAACACAACTCCTCATCCGAGATGTGGTGGAAGAAAGGAGGAGGAGGCGTATGCCCCGGTGAACGTAAAGCTATATGGGTCTCTTTTCAGAGGCTTGGCTGTGCTCTGAAAGCTGGAATATCATATTAACCTTGTTTATTATCTACAAAGCCGATTCATTTATTAGTTACTTCTCAAATCTCAGATGTTAGCTGAAATATTTTGTTCACTAAAAGTGAGGATTTACCCTGACAGCAGCAGCTTTCAAAGGAAACACTTAAGTGGTTTTATTGTAATTATCTTTTCTCACAGGTGCAGAAGCAGAAAGCCAAGGCAGCGCTCCGAGTCCTGCTTCCCAACCAGGAGGAAGAAATCACCACCAGGTTTCCAGAGGCAACAAGTCACGACACAGAGCAGGCTCAAACGTCCACGCCCCCTCCTTCTCGTTAGCATCTGATGAGCAGGGGTCATCAGGAGTCAAGAAGATGGGTTAGAAGCTCTTATGTTTCATGTTGTTCATGAGTTAAAGTTAATGTTTACTCGTTAACAACAGGCGGGTGACCTGAGAGATGTGTGCGAGATAGAAACACACCGTTTAAACCTTCACCGTGTCCTCCTCAGCTACAAACATCGATCGCTCTGTAAAAGACCTGCAGAGGTGCACCGCCTCGCTGACCCGCTACAGGATGGTGGTGAAAGAGGAGATGGACTCCTCCATCAAGACGATGAAGCAGACATTTGCGGAGCTCCAGAGCTGGTACGTCGAGTTGTGATGGAGCAGCTGCAGGCTGAGTCATCCAGATAAACAAATCAGAATTAATTACAAAGCTTGATGTGCGCCGAGGTTCACCCTCGAGCTGCAGGTGTTTTGTTTCAACACCGAAACGGTGAATAAACCTTTTCTTTCATGTAGGGATGCTCCGTTCCGATCACAGGATTTTCAGGAAATCGGTGGAGAAAATCGAATGTAACCATTTAAAACAACAAACGTCGCTTTTAAAATTCATCCTGAAAAAGAGATTTTCTAACGGAAAAACAATGGCTTAGTTTTAAATTCAACAACATTAGTATTCTTTGTTTCACAGACAACGCTGTAAGCACCACAGGGTAGTCTGGGAATTCACGCACCGTAACATGTAGCAGTTTAGCTAACGCAGCAGAGCTGTCACCTCACGAGAGAGGAAACGTCTGTAATTTGGAAGTATTTTAAACAAACAGCAAAGGGAGTGTAAGAAACATGTGTGATGTGTGCAAACTGGGTATTTAACGAGGTGCTGCGTTCAACACTGATGCGCCACCTTAACTCATTCACTGCCAGCCATTTCCTGATCACTAACGGCCTTCGCTGCCAGCGTTTCTCACCGTTTTTACTGTTTTTTTAAGAGTCACAGAATGTTGCGCGCTAGCATGATGTCGATGCCAAAACAACCAAAACAAAGAAGAGACTCACCTCTTACATCAGGAAGAAGCCGCGTGTTTCGAGCGTTATCCGTTCTTTCATAATCCGTTGTCGAATTGTGATCGGCAGACGCTTCACCGGTTCGCGCCTCACTTTTTTTTTTACAGGAACGGCCCAAAACGATCTCCAAACACATGGATGTGTTGCTTCCTGATCATGTGATCTGTGACATATGCGGATGAAGATCGGCTTCAGGGCTGAGATGTTTGTTCTCTCAGCGCGGGGGCTCGTTCCGATGCTCAAACAGTAAAAAAATGCAAATGACGGCTTTAGTCGTCATTGGCAGTGAATGAGTTAAAAAACCGACCCTGCTCAGTTTGCTGCAGCAGTTCAGCTAAGCCAGCCGACACGAAAAGATACATCAAGAAACCAAGAACTAGTCACGGACGGCGAAAATGCCCAGATAGCAGCATATTTACCACATTGGATGAGCGTCTGGTTGCAAACGTCGAGCTCTGCTCTCCTTGAGTCGTGGTATGATCTGCTTTCTCTTGCTACCTTTACAGAGCTCTACAGGTGTATTATAGAAAAGAGTTACTCTGCTGCTGATTGTCGTGTGCCGTGCCAACCCTGTCGCTGAAAAAAGCCGCAATGGGAGCTACTTTTACATTTGTTTTTAATATTAACACGCTTCTTATTAATCAATCAAAGCTTTATTTATAAAGCGCCTTCCGCAACCCTGTCAGGAAGCCCAAGGCGCTATTAATGTAAATTAATATTTACTTTTGCATATATTCTTAATGGGCGGATTGGTGCTGCGTCTGCAGTGATGCTGGTGTTCTACTGGTCTGTCGTGGTGAAGAGAGAGCTGAGCCTGAAGGCGAAGCTCTCGATTTACTGGTCGATCTACGTTCTTACCCTCACCTATGGTCATGAGCTTAGGGTAGAGATCAAGCGGCCGAAATGAGTTTTCTCCGCTGGGTGGCTGGGCTCTCCCTGAGAGATAGGGTGAGAAGCTTGGTCATCTGGGAGGGGCTCTGAGTAGATCCGCTGCTCCTGCATGTCAAGAGGAGCCAGTTGAGGTGGCTCGGGTATCTGGTTAGGATGCCATCTGGACGCCTCCCTGGTCTGGGCACGTCCAACTGGGAGGAGGCCTAAAGGGAGACCACGGACACGCTGGAGGGACTATGTCTCTCACCTGGCCAGGGAATGCCTTAGGATTTCCCCTGGAAGAGCTGGCCCAAGTGGCTGGGGAGAGGGAAGTCTGGGCCTCTCGACTTAGGCTGCTGCTCCCGCGACCCGACTCCGGATAAGCGGAAGAGAATGGATGGATGGATATATTCTTCATATTAACACGTTTGTTATTAATGTACTTCCTAAACAACTGATGTTTTATGGCAAAACAACTAAAGAAATTACATAAATACCTAAAGAAAGAAACGCATAAATAATTAAATCAGTTAAAGGACAACTCTGGTGTGCTCCTGTTTTCTTAATGCATTTCTAAAGTATCAGATAAGGTCTTGGTATCGGCAGGTTCTTAAAATCAAATGACTCCGAAACGGATCGGGAGCACAAAAACGTGATCGGCACATCCCTACTTTGATGGGTCTCATGTTTATATGAAAGTTGCAAGCGCTAGTTGATGAATTTCCTCTGCAGTGGTTGTTGCTCACATCACTGCTGCTTTCTATTAGAACAGCTTTATCTTTAAAGCTTCTGTGGTCCAGATGCCTCAGATTTCTATTTGCCGAGGAGATTTAGATTGATTAATTTTCTTTGAGGTTCCAGCAACTCTAACCCCACAAAACCTTCAGAATCTTAATATCGTGTGAGAAATGTTCAAGGGTTTAATAAAGGCTGAATCTCTGCTAAATGGTGCAGCAGCAAGCCTCTGAGAACCGCTGGGGTCTGTGAGCAGATCATGTTACACACTCTGGTCCAAAAGCAGCATTGGTGGGAAAAAATCCATGTGACTTATTCATGGAAGAATGTGCAGAGAGAGGGTTCGGCTAGCGTACCTGTCTGATGGAGCGAAGCCTTGTCGTATTTTTGTCTTTATTTTGCCGAGCCACAGCGGACTGAGAGGTCAGGATTGTGTTTATATCCTCACCAAGGTGCTGAGCGCTGAAGAGAATACCCAGAAGGGAATCCATCATGTTTCTGATGGTCATAGCTCAAATCAGCCTCCAGATGTTTTACTCTTCTGCTGTTGAGGTCCAACGTCACTGAAACACACACACACACACCAGCTGTTAATTCCGAGTGGGCGTGCTTCAGCTTCTACTAGGGACTTGAAATCTTTAGAAATGCTAGAGTTTGTTTTGAACATCGACTTTTATAAGACGAGGAAGTGACCTTGTTGTTTTGGAGCACGCTTAAAGTGCTCATCACCCCCGTAAGGTGCTGCGGAAAGGACGAGAAATGAGACGGTTTCTGTTGCTCCCTGCCCCGTATGCAAAAGGTGGGCCAGGTTTACCCTCTAATGCACCTTTCAGCTGTTTGGAAACGCTTAGACTGAGATATTTTTAGTGCTTCCTTCGGTTCCCAAAACTAACAAGATTCTTGTCAGACTAGATGAGTTAAACACCCTCTGTCTTCATTCAGACTTTTAATTGATTAATGAATACTTGGATTTTTTATTTTGTGGTCAGTTTGTTTATTCTGACAAACTGTAGCCATCACACGCCCTCTGGCCTTATGAGGTCAGGGACTCCAGGGTGGGAAGCGTGGGTAGAGACGAGTAATAAAACACTCGGCTGGGTTCCTCCAACCATACAGGAAGTGATGTGAGATTTGAGTTTTTCCTTTCCTTTCATGTCTGTGGCTTACACTAAAAAGTCCAACAGTATTGGTCTGTCATTTCTTGGGTCTTGGAGCTCTCGTCTTGACCTCTACTGTCATGTTTTTGTTGCTGCTGCAGCTGCTCCTTCATATCTAGCAGAGGAGCTAAATGATTTCTCTGCTGTTTTTCAGCCTAATGGACAGAGAAGTGACTCTGTTGTCAGAGATGGACAAAGTGAAAGCTGAGGCCAGTAAGTACTTCATTTTTCTGCTGCATTTCTACTAAACTGCTACTTTTATTCCTCCAACACGATTGTCTGAGTCAAAGGGCCGAAGAGTCGGACTTAAATCAGTCCCACATGAAGCGGTGAATGTTGTGGAACAACAAGTCCCAGTTTCTTCTAAAGCGCAGCGGTGCCCTTAGGGTGCTGATATACCTGGAGTGGTGTGTGTGTGTGTGAGACATGACAGAGCAGGACTCCATATTTGTAGAAGTAGGTCAGTTTTTCTTCTGTCCTCTCCGTTGGAGTGTTGTGTGTTCAAGCCCTGGAAAAGCTGAATAGTGTCGGGTGTCCGGGGAGACTCAATGCTGTCTTTGTGCAGGTGTGTGATAAATCAGGAGGAAGGAAACTCCAGAATGTCTGATGCAGGTTGAGCCAATCACAGCGCTCTGTGAGTAGAGATGTTGGGCGCGCTTAGCACCAGAGACGCAACAGAGAAATGCAGAGATGGCGTTCGGCTTAGAAATCGTGCTTTTTAAAAAATATTTTATCACAATGTTTAAAAACGAACTCGTTTTGAACATGTTTTTGATCTACACTGCTCACAAGAATTAAAGGGACACTTTTTCTATTGGGCCTGGCATGAAATCAATTAAACCTGTCTGATAATTTCCTGGTTGATTAAGCTGCTGAGGGCACTGTTAATCACTTTCAGCTGTATTGGTGTTCATGGACTTAACGACAGGTGCACTAAAGTGGCAACAATTACCAAACCCTCCAAACAGGACTGGTTTCACATGTAGAGGTCATTTCAAGTTTCTCCCTCTTGATCTTTTTCGGCTGGTTTTCCACTCGTGCTAGTTTTGGCTCTTCTGGCAGCATGAGGCGATTCCTTAACCCTACAGAAGTTGCACAGGTTGTCCAACTTCTCCAGGATAGCACATCGTGCTGCAGCAAGAAGGTTTAATGTGTCTCCCAGCACAATCTCCAGAACATGGAGGAGACTGGTGGTTATTCTCTGAGAGCTGGACAGGGTTGTAGAAGGTCCACAACCCATCAGCAGGACCGATACCTGCTCCTTTGTGCAAGGCGGAACAGGCTGAGCACTGCTCGTGCCCTACAGAACGACCTCCAGGGGGCCACTGGTGTGAATGTCTCTAACCAAACAGTCAGGAACAGACTTCATGAAGATGGCCTGAGGGCCCGACGTCCTGTAGTGGGCCCTGTGCTCACTGCCCAGCACCGTAGAGCTCGACTGGCTTTTGCTCAAGAACACCAGAATTGGCAAGTCCGCCACTGGCGCCCTGTACTTTTTACAGACGAGAGTAGGTTCACCCTGAGCACCTGTGAAAGAGTCTGGAGAAGACGAGGAGAACGTTATGCTGCCTGCAACATCGTTCAACGTGACAGGTTTGGTGGTGGGTCAGTGATGGTCTGGGGAGGCATATCCATGGAGGGACACACAGACCTCTACTGCCTAGGAAATGGTGCTCTGACTGCCATAAGGTATGGAGATGAAATCCTTGAACCCGTTGTCAGACCCTACGCTGATGCAGCAGGTCCTGGTTTTCTCCTAATGCACGACAACGCCCGGCCTCATGTGGCAAGAGTATACAGGCAGCACCTGGAGGATGAAGGAAATGAAACAATTGAATTCAAATTCAAAAATACTTTATTAATCCCAGAGGGAAATTGATTGCTGTAGTAGCTCAGAATAATAACAATAATAATCAAGTCATCAAAGAGTTGTTGTATATTACAATGGCTGTTGGCAGGAAGGATCTCCAGTAGCGGTCAGTGTTGCAGTGAAACTGAAGAAGCCTCTGACTGAAGACACTCTTCCGTTGTCGAACAGTCTTGTGAAGAGAAGGCTCAGGGTTGTCCATCATTTTTTGATTCTCTGGAGAATCCTTCTTTGCATTATCTCCTCCAGTGGTTCCACAGTCGTCCCCAGAACAGAACCAGCCTTTTTTATTAGGCTGTTGAGCCTTTTCAGGTCCCTGCTTCTGATGCTGCTACCCCAACAGACGATGGCTGAAGAGATTACACTCTCAACAACAGACTTGTAGAAGATCTGCAGCATCTTGCTACAGACATTGAAGGACCTAAGCGTCCTCAAGAAGTGCAGTCTGCTGTGTCCCTTCTTGTAAACAGCTTCGCTGTTCTTTCTCCAGTCCAGTCTGTTGTCCAGGTGAACTCCAAGGTATTTGTATTCCCATGGCCATCACGATCCCCTGACTTAAACCCAATAGTAAGTAAGTAAGTAAAAGTTTATTTATATAGCACCTTTCACAGATATAAATCACAAAGCGCTGTACAACATGATAAAGATCAGGGCAAATACCTCTAACCAATAAAAACATCAGAAAAACAATAGTAGTGATGTTGAGATCTGATGTATCTAATGTGTTTCTTTAAAGTGTTCCTTTAATTTTTATGAGCAGTGTATTTTACATTTTTTGTATAATTTTTGCACTTTATCGTTTTTTGTTTATGTGAAGCACCTCGTGAGTTTGATCATGAGAGGCGCTGTTTAAAAGATTGTTTTATTTTTTCGTTAAGCTGCTTTAGACTCGGGCTTTTCTGTCAGAGCTACTGAAGTCCTTAATTGAGAAAAATTATGTTTTTGCTGCTGCTGCTTCTACGACAGTGTATGGTGGACTGTCCCGTTGACTTGTTTCCATAGCGATGAAAATGTTACATTGTTTGTCGCTCTGATTGGCCTTAGCACTGTCCAATAGCATGTGGAGATGGTTTGAAAAACAACGGTAGACCAGGTCAGGTGTTACTTTCTCACCTGGGCTGTAACTAATGGGGGATACAAAATTGTGAGAAAACTCTTGACGACACCCACCTGCCCTGTAGCAGGAGGGTTGCAGGTTCGCACCCCGCTCGGTCTGTTGTGATCTGCCGTTTCCTTCCAGTTACCCCGAGGATTGACCCAGCACAGCTAGATCCGCTGTAGCTTTAGGTTGCTGGAGCCACAGAGGCTTCTGCTGCAGCCCTGCAGGTCCCTACTCTCCACCAGAAGTGATGTTTTTATCGTGTGCCGTAACCCAGCTGCTGTGTTTCAGTGACGATTTTGGACGCCCGGCAGAAAAGGGCGGAGGAGCTGAGGCGGCTGACGGACCGGTCTGCATCCATGTCTGAGGAGCAGCTGGCTGAACTACGTGCAGACATCAAGGTGAAAAAACAACCTTTGTGTTTAAATGATCCAAATCTCTATTTATTCACAAAAAGTCTTCTGTGAATAAAGTAAAACATTACAACTGAACAACAAAGGAAACCCATGTACGGCTGAACATTTGTGTTTTGCAGCACTTTGTGAGTGAACGAAAATATGACGAAGACCTTGGGAAAGCTGTCAGATTTACATTTGATATTGAACCCCTGAAGACGAGCATCTCTGGGTTTGGATCAGGTAAAACACCGACTAGCACATCTTTGTGTTTTTACAGCCATTAGGCACCAGGTCCCCTCAGCCTCAAAAAACAAAACAAAACCAGACGAGTGAGCTGCAGTCCGTTTGTGTTTTAGTGTAAACGGAGAAAATGACTGAAAGTTCCTCTGAGATCAAATCGTCATCAAATCCTGTTTTTTACATATTCAAATGATCAGATTCTTCTTCCTGCCTGATTTGGCTGCAGGACTAAAAGGATGCCGTGGCTTCTTAAGCTGGGCGGACACTGTGTGACTTGTTCACTCGTAGCACTCAGCTTCAGCTCAAACTACGACTTCCTCGCAGGGCAGATCTCACGAGTCATGTGCTCACACTGCACGACCCAGTTCTCGGATGCGACCTGACTGCTCACACTGTACGTCTGGTAGCAACACGTCAGACCTAAAAATATGCTAAAAATAGCAGTTTTTACTCAACACGTGAGACTTTTTTGTCTTGTTTTGCCTGTTGTCCTTCGGGAGTGCTGCAGGAGGACACACAGGGATTTATGGGGGTTGGATGAGGAAAACGAAATAAAGAAAGTAAATCTGTGTTTAGTGATCAGTTTAATTTGACACGAACACGACAAACACGCTTTCTTGACAATCTTTGTGAGTAAAAAAAACCGTGTAGAAACAAAAACGAACAACGAGTGTTATTAGGGAAACAGCAGGCTGGCAGTGTTGATGCAGGATTGCGCATGCGCCGTGAGCGGTTCTGATACTTTTTGGGTCGCAGCTGCTCGCAGCGCCGCTTCAACAGTGCGATACCCTCACGAGGGACGAGCAAAATATTAAACACGCCAGAAGTTTGTGTGAGCTCACGATTGCTGATCGGTAGCTGGTCACGTGGTGTTAATCGCCTCTCGTAACCCCCCGTACACTACACGACGCTCGGCGCAAAACTCGCCCCGATCTCGTGGATTCTCGCACGAGTGGAAAATCGGCTCAAAAAAGTGAAAAAGTCGCACAGTGTACGCCCGGGTTTAGGGGTACAGGAATAACTTCTGGGTCGCTCCTTTTACTGGATAGCAGGCTGTCAAACTCTGGAGCTTTTTACTTGCCGGTGTTGACTTGCAAATACCGGCGCTGGTGCGGACCTGATAACCTTACGGGCTCACAGCTTGTAAACAGGATTAGCTTGTTCTCTTTAGCAGAGGTCTGAGTCATGACTAGTCTCATGATTTTATTCAAATACGAGTAGTATGTCAACAATTCACTTTGATATCACAATTATTTCATATGGGTTTATTTTCATCAATTAATAGACCGTGTCAGATATTTGCTTTTTTTATTCAAAAACCTGGATGACACAACAAACCATCTCCCAAAAAGCTCTCTAATAACAATCCTTAGGAAGATATAATATTGCTAAACGTTTAATAAGATTTAATAAAGTAAAAATTTAATATTTTCTCATCCAACAGTCACATTTTAGGCTGTGGGGGAAAACAGGCTCTGCAGATGCACCCACCTACTCAAAATCTGAAAAAGTTCTGAAAACGTTCTAAAACAACATAAATCCCAATGAATAGTTAAAATGTGGAAAGTTGGAGGTCTGATCTCTGTGCTCTGGTTAGAGAGTGGATCTGTTTGTAGAGACAACTGAAGCAGGGGAGTAAACAGGTATTGTTGTGACGGTTGAGAACGGAGGGGAAATATGGTTCTGTATCCGCCAAAGGATTTCTACCCCATGGCCCCATGTTCCTAGCACATTTAATCTTGGAGCGGCACTTTTAAAAACGCCATAGGACATGTCTAATTCTTGCCTTCCTTTTAGATGATAAAATTCATAATGAGTCCATTTGTTAGCTTTCTGTGTCTTTGGAGCTGCTTTAATTGCTAATGCTGCGTCAGAGCTACGCGTGTAGCTGGAGAAAACGGCCAATTTTATTTTTGAATCAAAAATCGATGCCGCGGTTAGACTGTCATCGATTATGTGTGCTTCTTCAATGGTGCATAATTATGTATGTCTGCATTTCAAAACATCAAAGATAACATTAATTTCCTCAGCTCTACTAATTAGTCCAGATGCTTACCAAACTCACAAGACCCAGGTTTGGGGTGTTGTGGTGCCACTTGGCGAGATCTTTAACAAACCAGATATGACTGGTTAGACCGGCTTTGTGATGTATTTTTGTGGTAAATGAGTCCAGTCTGTCAGGTTATCCTGAATTACAGACTTAATAAAGACACAAAATCAAAAAAAAAGTCATTTGAAGAAAGGTGGTCGGACTGAGCTGCACTAATCTGAGTTACTCTGAGCGGTGAGCTTGGAAAACCAGCTTTGTGAATGTGGCTTTAAGGCTGTGATGTTTGTGACTGTTTCCCCTACAGTGTACCATCCACGGACAGGCTATTCAAGCCGGTCCCGCTGTAGCTCCACATCGTCCTCCATCACCAGCCCAGGACTGCTGGAGACACCTCCCCCCCCTCAGACCCAGAGTGCCCCTGCAGAAACCCGTCCCCCTCCTGCTAAACAGGTCAGCTGGGAGAGCAGCTGTTAGCCGAACGCATCGACCCTTCAGGCGTTAACGTTCTGACCTCTGATTCTCTCCTCAGATTTTCCAAGGAAACAGGCGCACCTACCAGGGACAAGGGTACCACTCAGGCGGTCAGAGGTTTAACGGCAGTTCCCACCATGACAGGAACGCCGGCCGAGGGAGCTATCGTCATCAGAGTGATGGCGGCTCCTCTGGCCCCACGCCGCAGCACTCCAACAGCTCCAAAGGCCCCTCCCACTCCTCGTCCTACAATCAAGAGCGACCCGCTCACAACGGGCTGCCCCAGAGGCTTCCTCGAACCCACTGCCCTTGACATCGGAAATCCGCTCAGTTAAACCCATCCACTACCCCCCCCCACCTTCCTACTAATTCCTTTCAATGAAGAATAGTAAACACGTTTACATATTTCAGTCAGTTGAGCTGTAGTGCCACCTCTCTGCATCCTTCAGACTTCCTCTTCCATCTCTGTTCTGTTCTGGTGACAGCTTCTATCTTTAGCCCCCTGAGAGAGTTCATGCTATGCTATTGTCGGTTTCTGTCTTTAGTTCCCGCATCAAGCAGTCTGCCAGAGACTGATGTGATCACCTGCAACAATCTGCACTATTGAAGTTGAACTTTTAGTACTTTTTCTATTTTTGCCGTGGCGCCGTCAGCTCTCTGACACGAAGCTCGGATGTTTTTGTGTTTGTAGTTTTTATTTTTTTTCTCCTCGTCTCCAAGAACCATTTCAATGCCTTCACCATGGAAACGTTGTGAAAGCGCAAAAGTAGTTGGAGCATCGACAGGGAATTCTGTGGTCTGAGTGGTGGACATGCAATCAACACTACAAACTCCTTCTAATCTTTGTTCGATAAAAAGAGACATATCAAACTGTAACTCAGAGCTTTAGGAAGGCTGCTAGGATGTTTACGCTGGGACTCGGACACGTTAGGACACAGACGTTTCCTGTTAAAGTTGTAGTTTAGCATTTTTCTATGTGCTCTCTTCCTCTTTGTGCAGAGTTGGTGTGCTTTTGTCTGTGGGCTGAACACACACACATCAGCATGTTGGCTCCACACAGAAACAACATGAAAGTTCACATGACTCCTGTCAGCAGTCTGAGCTCATCTGAGCCTGTTTCCTAAAGGCTGCCCAGAGTCCAGTGTGCCCCTCCCATCTGTCTGGGGGGGGGGGGGGGGGGGGTCACTGTTTGTGCACAGGCTTGCTGTTCACTATTGTCTGAGAGGGCTTGTTTTGTTAAAAAAAAAAAAAGGTGAAAACTCTAAAGAAGCTCCTTTGATGACCACGTGCGGTTTCCTGATTCTCAACATTTGTTCGGTTCTGCATGTCTGTTGCTTTTCTTATATGCACACAAATGGCGTTAATGTCATGCTTGCCTTTAGTCACATTCACCTTTGCCTTTCTGCAAACATGGATGTCTCCATTACTGTTTTCTGATTGGATGGTACGTGCAGATCACTGTGGAATTTCTAGGGTCTAAAACCTGCTCGCCCCTCTTTATAAAAGCCCTCCACCCCCACCCTGCGCACGGTCCAGCAGCAGGAGTTAGATCATATTGGTGAATGGAGGGTTGACTGCTTCATGGCTGCCAAGTTGGTCCAAAGCTGCTGATATCTGAAATGTCCTTGTTTTTTGCCCCGTTAGAGAACAAATCTGTGGTGAATACCTCTTAGCTGCTCCTCCTTTAGTCCGTTTCCCTACAGCAGCTCTTATTACGAGACGGGGACCCCCTTCTCTTATTGTAGTTATGTACATAGACTGAGCTGCAGCTCCGTAGTGGCAAACCAATCACGTTACTTTATTACTTCATGAAGTGTCGTCTTCCTTTAAGAAGGTTTTTGGGGAACAAATTAATTCTAAAGTGTTTTTTCTTTTTCTTTGTTTCCTCAATGTTTGTTTTCATGGCTTCCTGTTCATGGGGTCTTTCTTCTGTTGTGGAGATTAAAAAAGATCGACCCTAGTAGTGGAATTAGTGGAGGAACTATTGCGAAGTTGTTAGCAGGCTTTGTTGAATGACGGTTGATGAGGCTCGGCTGAAAGGTTAGTTCAGTGTTTTGGGCACGTGTGTTTGGTTTCTGGTCAGACGCACGAAGGTTGTGTGAGCTGTTGGCTTGCTTTAACGTGAGTCCCAGACCAGAGAGCCTGTGCAGGAGATGGTCTCTAGAAAAGCTCTGGAGGAGCAAAAAGAGGGTAGTTTTAGGTTGTTTTGGGCTTTTCGTTAGTGCTAAAGGAATAAAAATTTTGATTACAGCAGCAGTTCTGGGTCTGAGTGAGCTCCACGTCTGTTTGGGTTCACTGGCCCTTTCTGTGGGACCATCCTGGACAGGGGTTCCGGCCTGCTGTTGGATCCTCCTAGCAGCTCCTCTAAAGCCGACATCACAATACGGCTCCGTTTGAACCAGAGCGTAAACATTTTGGATCAGCTCGTCTTCAGCTAACGAAGCTTGTTGCCAGGCAACCTCTGGATGTTTTTGTTCGAGCAGCAAATGTTGAGTTTTGCACGCCAAGTGAGTCTGAGAGGGGTCGGCAGGCGGTCACATTCAGGTGGTTACCTGTGGCCTGAAGGTGAAGCAGACCCCACAGCTTTCCTCTCATGTGGTCTCCGAGGGCGGGCTGCACTGTGGTGTAACCTAACCCTGCAGCAGCTCTGGATTCACTCACTTTCTGTTTGACATTCCAAATTCTAAATTAACCGGTCCCATCGGAAACAACTGCCTCTCGCTTGTCCCCAGCCTGTAAAAACAAAGTCCAAAGGGGATAAATCCATTTTTCCTGTATATACGTAAATGTAGCTATATGACTGTGCTCACATAGGGCGTTTTGTATGTGATATTCATACTAGGCATAATGGAAGTGAAAACATCTGGTTGGGTCATTCTTCCACTAGACTTGGTGTCCTTTCTTCTGAAACAACTGTAAACTCAAGTGCCTTTTCTCGTCTCCCACTGACTCCTCCACATCCTCCACCTGATTATGGACCAAAGACATCGACCGTCCCTGACTGCCCAGCCCTCTCTCCCTCTCACTGAATGGCACACTTTTCATTTACTACAAATAAACTGTTTGCAATACCAACTGTGTATCTGCGTGTCAAAGTTGGCTCATAAAGGTGTCGTGGCGTTTTTAATCATTTGTTCAGAGAACTAAAGCATGCTGGTCTAAGAATTAGTGTCATCTGAAAGCAACAATCTTGCAAAGTAAATGATCCAATGTGCAGAAGCAGCCAGCCGTGATCCGGGTTCTTGAAATATTTTCTTATACTGAAGCACCCAGACAATAGCTGCCTGTTATTTCTTCATTTGATAAAAACTAAAACTAATATAAAAAATACACTTTTGCTTAGATTCCAGTTTTATATTCTCCCGTTTAGATCTCAATCTGAAATCACGCAGCCATGTAGCTGGGTCTTTCTGTATCAGTGTAAAGTGAAATAACTAAACTGATTTCTTACTGCATACCTGCTCATCCAATAGCTCACTGAGAACCAAAAGTTGCTATTAGTGAGGTTCCTGTAATCCACCAGCAGGTGTCACCAGACTCCCACATGACGAACAGGCTTCAACCCAAACAGACACAGGTGCAGAAATCCTATCCTGTGCTTTCCATACACAGGATGTCAGGATACACTCAATCTGAGGCACCAAACCAAATCCAACAACTAAAACAAGGACAATTAAACTGACTTTCATCTTTTTAATGAAAAAACAAACCAATAACAGTTTAGACGCTGGCTCACTAACACTGTACATCATGCAAATAGAAATGCAAACTAGTAGAAAATGAGTCTGGAGCGGCTCACAGTCCCATCACAGAGGGAAAGACAGCAGCACCTGTGGAAGGAAGGAAAGGACGTTTACTCCACTCTAAATAAATATTCTGGTAATGTTAACCGTCCTACTTTTTGTGATAATTGGACCATCTCCCGTATCCGAATCTGGGACTTTCCAATCCAACTGGCGGCCTTTTTCGTAGAGTCCCTTCAGGACCTTCCTCACGTCGTCGCTCCCATCTCCACAACTCAGATCCAGGTACTTTCTGTACAGCTGCAGGGCGGTCCGTGCATCCTCTATACTGTCGTGGGTTTCCCCCTGAATGTTAAGATCTGTAAAAAATAAACATGACAACCGGGAATAACAAATGCCGTGGCACAATCCCAGCTCCTCACCATCAGTTACAGCACGGATATTCCAGGAATGCAAGAGCAAAAATGACTGGAACTCCAGGCTTACCCTGATGATTAAAGTTTACAGAACTCTGCTGACATATTTGGTGTTTGTGTTGATATGCTGCATTGGTTTCTCAACCACACTGCATTGTGGGTAAACCACTCTCCTTTGGGTTCACCAGTCTAAAGGACATTATTGCACAGATCTGGTGATTTGTTCAGGTGCTGCCATGGTCAATCCTTCCCAACAAACTAAACTTGTCTGAACTTTAACCTTCCAATATTCCTTTACTGGTTAGGAAACAACCCCACAATGCTCCGTCCCAACATTCACTCCGTCTTAAAACAGTAAAAATATCTCTTTATATCTTAACTCACCTAGGAAGTACCAAGCCAGGAACCTCAAAGAAATCATTCTCTTGCGAGGCAAATGGAACAGGTACACGGTGTCGATCACCTGGTCCTTTGGAACCTTTAAACACAAAAAGCAAATGGATGGTAGGAATGTGCCGACCACGTTTTTGCTTTCCGACAGGCTGCTGCACTTCCTTCGCTGCCTGGATTCAATCCGTCCAAACTGCAGACACGTTAGCTCTGCATTAGCCTGCTAGCTAACAGCTACACGTTATGGTGTCAGAACCCCCGCCTGCCATAAGTGGATGTAGAGAAACTTGTTGACATTAAAACTAAGCCACTGTTATTCTGTCGTGTGTCTCAGGATGATTTCAAAGTCATCTATGATGTTTCATAAGGTTAAATCCAATCTTTTCCACCTGACGATCCTTTGGAAATCTCGTGATCGGCCTGATTTCCAATCCTGTGATAGGATCGGAGCATAAATAAGCTGGTTTACTTTAACTGAATCAACAATCAGGACGGTCAGAAATAACGAACCAATAAATTGATGACCCTGAAGTCTTTCTGTAGGCCGTGGCCAACAAAGCGAACTCCTGTGTCGATGAGGAAGCGCAGCTTCAGGTAGGTGGACTTCAAAGTGGTCAGGTGCTTCGAGGAGATTTTAGCATCCAGGTCTCCTGGTTTGATACCAGAGTATTGTGTCAAATAGTCGACCACCTAAAAAACAAACGTGTGTAACTGTTAGCTGCAGCGTTTACCAACCAGCTGATAACTATCACGTTTTTCTTCAGAGAACATTAAAACCACCTCACATGGGTCTTTACTTTTTGATACTTGTCTGATGCATGAGGTGGAGAAATGCTGCAATGACCCAAATATTCTTTAGGTCATTCCTTTGTCTTTGGTTGTTTACCTGCTCCTGAGTGGAGATGTAATCATCAATGAAGGGAACCCCTTCGTTGGGCCCCTGCCCCCTCACACAGGTGATCCTGGCCACAGACATCTGACTGGGCTTAATGGTCGACTTGGTGCCGTCACTCCGAAGCTCCGCCTCTTCCTGCAAACACGGACGGAGCATGTTAAGATAAATCTGTGATTTAGATTTGTTTGTGTATCTGTCTGTCTGTTTGTCTGTCTGTCTGTCTAAGGCCGGACACACACCGGCCGCCGAAGCACCGGGAGGCGAAGCACTCACGAAATTCAGCCGCTGCTCCTCAGTTCAGACCAGACGCTTGTTTCTCCGCTCCGGTCAAGGCGCGCCTCGTAGTTTTTCTTTTAACCACTTGGCGTCCTCCATTTCCTCTCTGCCTTTTCTCTGCTCTTTTCCTCGACACCCCCCTCCCCCTTGCTGTTTGTGTGTGTGTGTTTGTACGTGTGTGTGAACCTATGGTGTGAACCAGTTGTTAATAGCTGGTCTACGACTTTCTGCCTCTCTGTCCTGTTTGCTCCGGTTGAAAGACACCCAAAACCACACCCCCTTCACATGGTCACACACACACACACATACACAGCGTGTGTGTGTGTGTGTGTGTGTGTGTGTGTGTGTGTGTGTGTGTGTGTGTGTGTGTGTGTGTGTGTGTGTGTGTGTGTGTGTGTGTGTGTGTGTGTGTGTGTGTGTGTGTGTGTGTGTGTGTGTGTGTGTGGTTTTTATGCAGTGTATTTATGAACACATCTGATTTGAATTGTATTTTGAAATGCTTTATTTTGTTAAATTTACCAGCCTGCCTCTTATGTCCAGGTTTGACTTCCTGCCAGAATTGATGCGGTTTACCCACGGCTCGCGAAAAAAATAGAGCGGATGCCGAAACGATCGCTGCGCAGCGTGGGCTGGAGCGCCGGCGCGCGGCATTTGGCGGCCCATGTGGTCTATAGAATAGGATAACAAGGGCGCCGAATGAAGGCGGTCCCCTTTTCGCGGCGCTTCGGCGGCCGGTGTGTCCCCAGCGTAACACATGCAGGCTCACCTGGTTCAGCGTGACAAACTCGGCGTCCAGCCCCACCAGGTCCCCGACCTGCGGCATCTCGCTGACCATGAGCGGGATGAAGGTGGCGTGACTCTTCCTCTGCTTCCGAGCCAGCGAGGCCTCCGTCAGCAGCACACTGGCATCGATGGGGTTTTTGACTGAGGTAGAAAGTCCGAATGAGCTGAATAAAAACCTAGAAGTAAACGTTTTGATTTCAAATGCTGAAACTTACTGCGGAGGTCGTATTTGGTGTGGTAGTTCCTCTTGGCGTAATAAAGGATAGCCGGCACTTTCCATCGGACATCAAACTGTGCAGCTTCAGTCTTTGGCATACAAAAACATAAATATAAGAGCTGATCGTTAACATGATGTTAAGCTAACATAACACAGCTAGAATATTTACCTTGTCAATGGGTTCAATGAGGAAATCGTTGAAGAGGTACCACTGCTGGTGTGTGACTCCCTGAAACACAAACATCCTTTAAATGTCGACTTTAACCGCTGAAGATGAAGCTGATGTTTCACTTCCTCTCACCTCTTTCCTTTGGTGGTACGTCTCGCTCACTTTGATGTGTGCAACCAGGTTCCCACCTGTGCGGGCGTCCTGGACGTGGGGCACCGTGACGACCAGATCATAGAGAGAAGCACCTTCTGCTTCTTCAGCAGAGCTCAGCTAGACACCGAGGCGTCGCAACAAGTCAGGATTCATGTGCAAATCTTCACCGTTTCTACAGAAGAGGCTAAATAAAAGCGTACCTCCTCTCCCTCTGAGCAGCTGCTGATCTCCAGACCCTGAGTTTTACTGATGGACATTTTCAGAGTGGCAGGGATCCAGACGTGTCGTAGATCTTCTGCCCGGGTGTCAAAGGTGAAGCCACCCATGCTGCAGATCTCCTCCCCACTGAGTGATGTGAACAGACACCAATGATCTGTGTTAGAGGTCCACCTATCTGGGCTTTTCTATGGCTGACACAGATCTCTGGATATCAGGGCAGGAAATGGCTGAGAACATCTGTGTTCATCATCATCATCATCACAGTGGGTTTATTCCAACTAAATACAGACTGGCTGATTAAAAGCTGGTTGATTGCTCTTCCTCTAATCCATGGATCTGAAATCATCTGTTCATCAAAGCAAAATGAAGTGGAAACTAAACTTCTGCATCTGTTTTAAAGCAAAACAATTTTGTTCCTCTTCTCCTCTCTTTTACAATTATTTTATTAATCATAACGAGGCAAATAAAAACAAGTGTGATAGATGTCATTTAGACCTGGACGGCTCCACCAGGTGTGATGATTCAAATAAAACTCAAACTGACGATGTTCTTACTCTAAGCACCACTCTGTGTTGCTGGGAGGGGGGTCGCTGGATCTCGCTGGCTCCGTGGCCTCCTTCTGCATGGCTTTGTTAAAAGCATACTGGAAAAAGAAAAGGGAAGTCAGGAGATCCGATTTAAATGGAAAGTGTTGCAGTAAAGCAGACAGGTGATATGTTACCTCTGCCTGAACTTTCCAGAATTCCGCCTCTTTGGCACTGTTTACCTCACAGTTTATGACCAGAACGTCGGGCAGGCACCTGATGTTACGTGTCTGCACCTAGAGAAAAGAATAAAACCATTTAATTCTGCTGCTGGCGGGATGTGGCTGCTGCGGTTACATGAAACGCACCGTAGGCTGGTACTTCTCACAGTTTTCGCACCACGCCTGAGTGCTCTGCTCCAAACAGATGCTTTTCTTCAGGATCTCAGCAAAATCATGTTCCTTAACCGTTTTGTCTAAAGAACCCAAACTAAATATTTATCAATCCAGGCTACGTAAAAGCACATTAAGAGTGAAAAAGCCCCCTAACTCACTCTGAGAGTTGTGTTCTGGATAATGCATGGTGAAGAGCAGCGTGAGAGAGGACCGGACCGTCTCCTTCCCACAGCGACACAGGCTGCTGTTCTCTACCTCACAACCAAACAGCTTCCCGATGATGGACTCACCAGAGGAGCCCAGAGAGCTACCATGAACAGAAGCACACACACACAAGTTTATCTCCGCTATCATCTGCTCAAACAGCTGCAGACTCCATGCTGGCCGACTCCAGCTGTTCTGACCTGCTGCTGGCTCCCCTGTAGGCCTGCGGACCCTCCTGCTCCTGCGTCTCCTGGTGCAGCTGGGTGAGGATGAAGCGATTCCAGCTCTGGATTAGGCGGCCCAGTTTGGCCTTCCCCGTTTGCTCATCCGAGTCAGCGAGGATCAGGCCCAGAGCCGAAGCTTCAGGGATGGTGCGAAAGGCTCGGAGGAAGTTACTGGCCTGAGGGAAGAGATGAGCCAGAGCACAGGGTTGGTGATGTCCTAACACCCCTGCAGAGACGACAGGACCGAGACTTTACCTGACACGGGTTTCCTCGTGACAGATCCAACATGTGGAAGAGGAAGCCGAGCTCGCAGGCCAAACAAAACTCCTTCTGGCACAAATGATTCTGTACAAGATGCCGGATTGGCTCCAGGAAATATAACACCTAATGCACCCAACAGAATAGTCAGAGATCAACAACCTATGTTAGTCCTCTTTCCCACTCGAGCCCAAACAGAACCTCCGGGGTGCTTTACCTGAATCATGCAGTTACAGTAGGCGTTGGGGATATGCGGCTCAAGGCCGGCAAACAGAGTCTTGTTGTAATGTTTGAAGTCAAAGTCCTCCAATCCCAGCTTAGAGTATTTAATGGTGACCTGATGCAGCACAAACACACACTCATTAAACCATTATACACACTTACTTTTCTGCCTTAACAGTAAATGCACCATTGATATTTATCCGTAACAGAGACATCCCCACCTTCCTGTACTTCTTAGGAACCAGGCAGAGATGCGGCTCCTCCTCACGGCCGATCGGAGACTCTGGAACCTGGTTGTAATTATCATAATCCAACTCCACATCCTTGATCTTATAGGGAACCTGAAACACGCACAGGACACAAGTCAGGAAACTTAAAGTGAAACCACTAAAAGCATTTGACGTAAAAGTTTAGATTTAAAATGCAGCAAAAATTCCTCATTAAAACATTTGTTTGTTTACTGATGCAGCCTTTTGGCTCTTTGCAACTTCAACTAATCAACTAAAACCTCCCCTTTTCTTTCCCTCAGTGGCACCAAGAGCCTAAACACAATCTATTGGTGCATTCACAGGCTTTTCAAAACATGGGAACTTAGACTTCTACCTGGTTTCGGGGGCGTGTGCGAGGATTTGCTGCATAACCGATGAAACCGACAGTTTTCATGGTACGAAGAATTTCTGGGTCCACAGCAGGAGCTCGTCTGTTGTAAGGAAAAACTGAAACTTATCAAACTCAAAGGAAAAAAAAACAAACTATCTAGAGACCCATCAGGGGGTTCTGATAAATGACACCAGTGTCCCTTTCACGTAACTTAAGCATTTATTCAACCAGCTGTAGGGAGAACCTGGACACTTAAAGACATAAACAGGGATGTTTATAGAGCTGTGTTCTCATTTAACACTTTGGACTGTAGTGAAGCAGCAGCATCTTTTATTTCTGTTGATGTTTGTGAACATTTCAGGTTTCCACAGGAATAAACCTGGAACCACTTCATCGGTCTGTCTGGATAGAGAGCTGTAGTGGTTTAAGGTCTACTGGGTTTTGTTGGATAACTTTAAACCAACAATGTGTGTGAGAATAACCAAATATACAAATAAAACAACATGATAAAAGCAACACAACCACAGAGGTGGAGTAAGTTCACCTCTAAGAATTAAGAAGGGACCTTTGCTCCTTCATGTTCGAGGGCTAAAACACAAAAGCTGGACTGATCCTGTGTCACCAACGGGTAATTATTAGGGATGTAAGAAAATATCGATATGGCAATATATCGTGATATTTTTTCCTGCAATTATTACATTGATATTCAAAAGCCGTGAATCTAATTCTTGAAAGAATTTACATGCAAACTTTTGTGTATTTTCTTTTCGTTTTGTGCAATTCAATCGCCACCCGCTAGTTGGCAGCAGTGTGCAACGGGTTTTGTTTCCACCATTGAAATGTAAATCCCTCCATCATGGTTCAGATACCTCATGTTAAACATGTTACGTATCAGTTTGGACTGTTTATTGAACATTCTTACAATAAATTCAGTAAAAATAATTGCTTGTAACGTCTGACTGAATGTATCGCAATATATCGTGATATATTGTATCGTCTCCCCTGTATCGTGATACGTATCGTATCGCCAGAATTTCAAAAATACACATCCCTGGTAATTATAGCACATCAGAGAACACAAAGTCTGTCTCAATAAAAAAGCCTGAGCAGCAAAGTGCTACAACCCCTTCAGCTGCATGTGAGAAGGCTTCATGCAGCTGACAGTTTCTGTGGTTTTTAGAGAAAGTAGACAAAAAAAAAATCCGGCTGCAGCAGATATATTTGACTGCTCTAGTTGTACTCATTCAAATGAGGGCAAACTGATATTCGATTTACGATGAAGTAAATGTTCTTGTGTCCAAATTTGGTCCCTAAAATGATGCACTCCTACTAACGCTAACATCGTAGCCTGATTCAAATGATCAAACATAAATCAAAAGACATCAGATACAGAGGAATCTGTGAATGGAGTTGTGATTTAAATAATAACCTTTTTGGTCAGTAGAGGATTTTCTGATTGGTTCCTTCATAAGAATTTACAAATCCAGCACACACAAGTCAGATTTTCCACATTTCCAGTGAAAAAAGAAAAAACAATGTGGTTTTTTTTTTCTCGTCAATTCCTTCACACTTCCCCTGTCTCCGTGGTAATCCGTCCCTAATTCCTTCCTGTTGCACGTGGTGACAAATGTACGACAATCAAGTCAGAAAAAAATGGGTGAGAGCTGCAGCTTTTAGTCACTGTGTTTCCCTGACCATGAAGGACTCTAAACTTGTCTTACCTGGGGCTCTGTGTTGCCAGGGCAGCGGGCCAGTCTGACAGCAGCGGCTCTGTGCTCGTCAGCGGCATGGGGATGAGGGAGAGGGGCAGAAGGTCGTGATTCCAGTCTAGCTGAGGCAACGAGTCCACAAGACAAGGCAGAGCAAAGTCCGTCTCCCGGGAGTAGTCGTTGAACGACACCTCTGGAACATCAGACCACAGGTGCACACACCCTCCGGAATCCCCAAAGGCCAAGGCTTGTTTGCTGGACGACACGTCAAAGCTCATCAGCAACTGCCCCACAGTGTTGACGTGAAAAATGTCTGCCACATTCGCAAGTCCAGTGGGTTCACAGAACTGACACTGACCTGGAGAAAGCAGCGAGGAGAGAGAAGTGTTTCAGTGTAATACCCATCCCTCCATTGTGGACAGGTTCTTGAACAGACTCCATTAGGAGTGAAAGAGTTTAAAAAGACTCCTCTTAATAGATCTACAACCAAAGTGTACCGCTTACCTCTTTGAAACACTGATGTTTTATGAATGTATTTCAGGAATAGCTTTTTAGATTTTACTGAAAGCCTAAGCTCCTTCGTGGAATACCTGTCTGTGAGATGATCACGAGGCGTGATGTGTAGGTAGGAATAAACCGCAGGAAGAGGGGATCCACATGCACTTGAAGTGGGGTCACAGCTCGCATCATGCGGAGGTCATAAACCATCAGGAAACGGTCGCAGGCCAACCCATTAAGTCCTCGACTGGAGAACCCACAGGCAGCAAGAAGGTTCCCGTGAACATCGAAATCTGACAGGCTGCCTGAGAATGCATCAAACTCCTGCTCTATCTTGAAAGTGCGTAGGTCTCGAAGTGTTATCTGTTGTAATAGAGAGTGGATATGTGAAACTATAACAAGCATTCAAAGCTGACACGGTGGAGTCATCCTCACCTTGCCAGAAGTGTTCCCACAGAAGAAGAAACGATTGGTTTGACGCATTATTGCCATTCCAGGTGCTTCAACCGTGAACTGTCAAATACACAAAATCATTAACGAACAGTCGCTTGCATCAAAACAACACTTCTGTCTTCATGATACGTTGCGTATGGTCCTGAAATCCACAATCTCACCTTTTGAGTTTCTTGCACTGTGTTCAAGTCAACTTCCACCACATAGTTTTGTAATCCACCCATGAGCAGCATGTTGTTGTCAGTCATGAGGAGATTATGCATATCAGCTCCTTCCTCCATCCTGGAAGCAGACATCCTCAGTTACTAACTTCACAGCTGAAGGCTGTCTGTATTAAATATGAAACATCTATCTAGGATTTTGAACCGCTTACGGATAATCAAACATAACTAGGCCTCCGCGGGTGTAGCATTTCAGGTTGCACTTAGACAGGAAGAGCACTCCTGTTTCCAAACTGTGAATGTGTCGGATGTCATCTGTGGCATGCACTTGGAAAGAAGAATGACGGCCCATTGTAGGTCCAAAATAGGAAGTAACATGACCCTAAGGAGATTTGTAAAAGCAAAGAGACAAAGCTAAAATAGTAATAAGGGACCTTAATGTGACTAAACAATGTACCCAGAGTCTCACTCTGTGGTTCCCCATCCAGAGCATCTCCTCCTGGAGGTCAAAATGGACCGCAGTGACTGGGATGCCAACTTCTGAGACCACGCTGTGAAGTTCAGAAAACATTCCCTCCATCAGGTGCACAGGCTCGGGGACCGACACAGTCAAACCCTCCGGATCGAGCTCCACAGCCTGCATTAAGGTTGGGTTGAGATGAGGGTCCATAGAGGGCTCCAGCCCCGTGTCCAGAGTCCCGTGAAGGCTGGTTGAATACTCCCCCATCCCGGCGTTGAGACTGTCAAAGTTCATCATGGAAATAGCTACGGCAACCTATAAAAACAACAACCTTCCCGTTATGAGTTTATTTGTGCTCCGCTAACGGATATCCAATTTAGCTAAAGCTAGCCTCATAATGAATGATTAAAACATGTTAAACAGAAACATACATAATACTGAACACTATATTTGTACCGTTTAAAAAAACCTATGTATTCATAAAATAGATGTTAAGGCGGAACCAACCTGTTATTTACACTTTTTAACAGATGCGTGTCCATGCTAACCACTTGCTAACCATTCACAACGATAACACAAAAAACGTTTCCGGGGCAAATTATGGTGCATTCACGAACAGAGGAATTTTTAGGTTTACTTTTGTCTGGTCATTAATTTTTGTTAGCGCTCGGGAAAATACTTGCATCAATGCTCCCTGTTGAACACGAGTGTGAAAAAGAAAAAAAGTATATATTTATAATTACACAAGTATTTCTAACAGTTATTTAACTTTAATGCCAGTCCCTTCTTTTTTACACTTTTCAAAATAAACCAAATGCGTTTGCGTCTTGCTACTTTTTTTGAACATGTCTAAATAAGATATGCTATTTATTTGTTATTATTAATTTTGTATGTTTGTTTATTAATTTAAAGATAAATGAACTGACCGAGCCCTACTATCTGGATTATTGATGGAATAAACGAACAGCAACCGCAACTCTACAAATTTTAAGGGACCTTAAAAGCATCATCTGTCCTCGTTGGATTAGAGATTTTTTTAATTGATAATTCGCGATAATCAACTAGTAGAATGAAAAAATCACAATACATTTTTTACTCATTATATTTTACTTATTTTCAAACATTTTTCTTTATTAATCACTTTTTCATTTTTTTTTATCAGAAGATAAAGGCAATATAAAGAATTAGTTTGAAAAAAAAATGAGCATGTGTACTTTTGCCCAGTACTTTCTGACCCTTTGGGTGACTTGAACCCTAAAACCTTCAAATCACATTAAATTGCTTCTGTGTGTATTAACTGTGTTATGTAGATGAAGCTGCCTTTCCTTTAAAAACACTATTTCTAAAAGAACAGTTAAAAAGGAAAACTCATTTAGAACTGCCTAATTTAAAACCTGTGATGTCATCCTTCACCAACGCCCACACAAAATAATCAGAAACTCGAGTCCTACTTCAAAGACTTTTATGTCAGGTACTGAAGTTATAGTCTAATTCAAACCAGAACTCGGTCTCTTGAAAGTGTTGCGAAAACTTATTTCTTCTTCTTCTTCTTCTTCTTCTTCTTCTTCTTCTTATTATTATTATTATTATTATTATTATTATTATTATTATTAGTAGTAGTAGTAGTAGTAGTAGTAGTAGTAGTAGTAGTAGTAGTAGTAGTAGTAGTAGTAGTAGTAGTAGTAGTAGTAGTATAGTAGTATTCACACAAAAAACTAAATGTGTTGAAAAATGACATTAAAGGCAGAGATTCTGTCTTTCACAAATAAAGATTAACTAATATTTTAGATATTGTATAATTTCCTAGAACATTTCTAAATATACAACATTGCAAATACCCACAGCTGTTAATTTTGTGGCTTCATTCAATGATATTTTAATTATCTGTGGGAAATATTGAGACACCAATAAGCCACTGATCACACATTATTATTATTATTATTATTATTATTATTATTATTATTATTATTATTATTATTATTATTATTTGTGTTGTTGTAATTATGTCTATTAAGATTTGTAAATGAATACATTAAGGACTTCTCAGCTGGGGTCCGTTTTGCTAAATTCTCATTGATCGGGTTTAACACATCTAAAACTATGAATCAATTGGAAAAATCAAGGAAGTAAATCGGTGTCTGATCTCTTCCCAGGGAGTTTGCCAGATTTTTTAAATGAATCTTTTTCTTTGGAAGTGACTAGGGGGATAGCTCAGTCACAGGTGGAAAGTTTGTCTGCTTTGTGGAGAATTTTTGCCGTTATATCACCCAAAAAAACAAACAAAAAAAAAACTAAAGGTTATTCTCATTTCCTCGGAATGTGGTGATGTGAAAACGTTTATTGATCAAGGACATTAATAAGTGACAAAATTACGAGTATTATGTTAAGGAAGCAAAAATTCTGAAATACGCTGAATGGATGAATGAACGAACGAACAGCGAAATGCTGTTTCTTTAGCGCTCTCTCTCTCTCTCTCTCTCTCTCTCTCTCTCTCTCTCTCTTTGTTTTAACTACGTATTTGTTGTCATAGATCATAATTATTTTGAAATCTTCTGAAACTCATTCGGATTTTACTTTAGTGCTGACTACCTTTAATAGCACTCGTACCTCACAGGGTTGGAGAAGGAAAATCCTGTCTGAGTCACCGGTGATGCTGTCACCTCCGCGATGACAAAACAATATAAACAGGACTCGCATCACCCACAGCATCCACATCCATCAGGGACGCACATAAACACATCTCTCTCTCTCTCTCTCTGGGGACACAAAAAAGAGGACGGCACAATGGATTTTCGTTTGGTGACTTTTGCGGCTCTCTGTGTGTTTTTCACCGCAGCATCAAGCGCTCCGGTCAGGGATGTGCGCTCCTCTGCGCAGCAGGACGCGTGCACTGAGGTGAAGATCAGCTCTCTGGATCTTAATCACTATGCCAAACTCGCATCAGTGAAGGTGTGTTTCTTTCTTAAATGCTGGACAACAAGTGTGTTTTTTATGTGGTAAAAGATTAACTAACTTCATTATCACAAATAAGCTTAAATAAGTCATTTTAAATTAGTTCTGTTTTAATAATGCATCAATTGGAATTTTTACTTAAGATTTTTTTCTCTTTTTTCAATCTTTTATTTTCATTTATTGACATTAAAATAAAAATACAGAACTAAATTGCTGCAAGCCAAAATGAAAAAGGGGACAGAAAGAAGAAAAACTTATGTTGTCTGCCCTTTTAAACTAAAATAACATTAATACAAATGAAATAATCATATGATTCTTAAAGAAATTGAACAATAGTTCCTGGACTTGTTGGCCGACAAAATCTCAACCCATGAATTTGAGAGAAAAAAAGAAAGAAAACAATTTACACAGAAAGAAGCATTAAGTTATAGATCTATATACATACGTATATACACATACGAATACATACTAGGTTTTTTATCCTTTCACCCCCCACCCCCTCCCCTCACACATTTATGTAACGGATCTATATAAGTTAATCTTTTTAATTTTTTATCTCTTTTTTGAAAGCCAATATTGTTTTTGCATTCTTGAGTTCAGTATTCAATTTATTCCACAGATTTCACTTTGAATTAGACAACTTGCTGTTTAACGACCTTTCCAATGGTACTTAAGTGTTTCCAAATAATCTGCAGGCAAGAAACGGGTCAACAGACTTGGCAGCTGTCTCCAGCTCCCTTGTCTGGATGGAGGCAAAAGACATGTGTGATCCAGAGAGCCTCAAACACAAGCCCATGGTAAAATGAACTCCTGAGTATGACAGCATTAGAAGAAAATGTTCCATTTGAAGGAGGAACAGTTGGGTTCATTTGTTTTCACGTCTCTCTTCAGCCTTGTGTTAGTAAGATCTTCACTGTCCTGACGAGCTACAGCTCTGCAGTGGAGATGATTTCTGCATTTGACAGCTGCTCTGAATTCACCAGCATTGTGAAGCCAGCTCTGAGGAAACTGCACAGAGACATGAGCAAGTGTGTGAGGTCCCTCGGAGGAAAGCACGAGAAGGTAATGAAGGATGAAATTAAAAGTCTAGTTTTCCTGTTGCTGGGAGTGATTTTAATCCCTGTCCTCATCTATAAAGGAGCCCCATGTGAGCAAAGTGGAGCCTGAAGCGGTTGACCAGTGGAAGGAGGCTTTTCTGTGCCACTACGTGCTGGACAGAGTCTTCTCCTTCTCCATCCTCGCTGCTCGAGTCTTTGCTGTTGGTCATCCAGCTCATCATGATGAAGGCTCCAGTCAGAAGTGCTGGTAGAGCCTGAAACATCTAAATGTTTGTTGGTGTGCAGCTGATCGGGTGATGTCACTGATCAAAGCATGCAGTGCAGTTTCCTGTTGCTGACAGTCTAAACAACAATGTTTCAACTCCAGCTCCATGAAGTCATGGAAGAGTGTATTTCCCATGGAACAGTTTTTATTTATTTCACAAACAATATTTATTATATTTATTTGGTATTTATAAAATCTGTTTGTTTTGGTGTTTTTATATTTTTCAATTTTATGAGAAAAAGAATTTATAATAAAACAAGACAGAACATATGAGTTATAATGTGTTTCCTCCATCATCATGCTTTTGGTTGATTGTTTTTTGTTTTTTTTTAATCCTGAATAATTAATCGTTATGCACCGAGGAAAGTTATACATTTACCTGCACTGAGGAACTATCCTTTTTGAAATGAATATAATGAATTAATTAAAACAATATAGCATGCCGGCATAAGAAGGAAGTTGTTCTTTCCTAAAACATTCCTGCTACTCTTTGGAGATCCACAACTTCCTGTATACTTCCTCCCAGCAAACCAGACATGTCCAGTTGAGAACATGTTAATTCAGTGGTGATTCTAAATCACATAAATAAATAAATAAATACATAAATAAGAAAGGCATCATGTTCAAAGGGGAAGAGGAAGTCCACAGTGCTGATGTGTTGTTGCTCAACAAGGAAGTTGCTTGTGTGGGCAACTCCATTTCCAGCATTTATCCTCTCCCCCTAACATTCCGTCTACATGCTTTGAGGTAAAAAAAGTAAATTAATTAATAAATTATAAATAAAACTCTTGCAGTTACCTGTCCAGAAAAAATTCATTCAACAATAACCTAGAAATCTTCAAAATCTTCCCAGAAAGTTTAAAGTGTAATCATGCAGTCAAAGAAGAACAGGAAAGACACAAATTGGTGTGCACTAGCAATCACTTCAGGGTGTCGGGTCAGGGTTTATTTTATTTTATTTTTTTCACTTTAAAGCAACCACATATTTATAATATCTTGCACTTTCCAGAAAAACACACATGGCTGGAAGTTTTACACATTTTTAAATTGTGTGGTTTCAGATAAGACAGGGGTAGATTATTTAATAAGAGAAAAGATTACTAACAGTACATGTCATCTTACCATACCATGCCAACTTTATTTCTATAGCACAATTTAAGACACAGCGTGAGAGCTGACCAAAGTGCTGAACAGGCAGGATTAATTAAAACAAAAGTAAAAACAATAAGAAGATAAAATACAACAATAAAACTATAAAATCATTATATGATAACATGAATCGCTGTCTAAAAGCCAAGTCATAAAAGTAGGTTTTTAAACAAGATTTAAAAACAGACAGAGAGGATGCCAGCCTAACTGGGTAATGAGTTCCAGAGCATGGGGGCAGCATGGACAAATGCATGTCCACCTTGTGATTTGTAGGACATCTGGGGAATGCAAAGCAGTAGACGGTCAGCTGACCTCAACATATAAGTAAGTACATAGAGAGTCAGCAGGTCGGACAGATAAGGGGGAGCTACAGTAGGTCGTGAAGGGCTTTGAAAACAAACATCAATATCTTAAAACGCACACAAAATGTGACGGTGAGCCAGTGAAGACGAGAAGATCTTAGACATAGGTTGCATAATCAGGAAGTTCCAGGTGTCAACGTGTGAGACTTTGATGCAATTTTGAGTTTGATGTTGTTGTACAGGTAAAACACTCAAACAGCAAAATGTTGGAAATGTTCACATCCACGCTGCTTCCAACAACTGAATTTTTTTTCAGCTAAGAAAGGGCAACATTTCTATATTAAAGCTGGAGTATGTAACTATATAGTCATTACATGCAATATTAGTAAAACTAGATAATGAAAGCACAATTTACTAAAACTTTTCACAAGGCAAACAAAATGATAAACAGACACCTTAGTGAGTTCAATGATCAAATGGTCAATGGACATAAATAGTTTAATAACTAATCCACGGGCTGCATGGTGGCGCAGTTGTTGTCACTGTTGCCTTGCAGCAAGAAGGTTGCCGGTTCGAAACCCAGCTGCGGTCTTTCTGCTTGGAGTTGCATGTTCTCCACATGAATGTGTGGGTTTCCTCCAGGTACTCCGGTTTCCCCCAAAGATCACAACATGCCCTATAGGTTAACAATTGTACGTCGCTTTGGATAAAAGCGTCTGTCAAATAAATAAACATAATTGAGGGAAAAACCTCTTCTTAACACTGGTGTTCTACAGGGCAGTGTATTTAGTCCCCTGTACATTCACATATGAATGTGTGACCATCCAGTTTAACATTGTCAATGAGTTTCTTGATGAATACAATCATGGGCCTGATCACAAAATATGGCTGAAATGATTATTATGTTAACAATAAGCAGGCTAGGAGTGGGAGCTGGCCGTCTGATTGGGGTCTGCGGTGGTGGGTCGCTTTGCTCTGCGTTGGGTGGGGATGCCAGCTCATCATTACCCCAGTAGAATGGGGTTGGCTCTGGGGTCCGGGAATACTTGTGTCCTCTGCACAGCAGTACCGGGACCAGAGTCAGTAGGGTGTGTATGGGGAGTGTGAGTGGGTGTATGGCATACATTTTTTTGTGTCTTTAGTTTGTATGTGTTTACGTGAGAGTCTGAAGGTGGGAGTGTGTGACTGTGTTTGTGTGTGACTGTATCTGTCAGGTGGGGTCTTGGACTCCTCCCCTCTCCTGAGACATCTTATGGTGCTACAGCATCTTCACCTACCCTCCCCCTGCCAAAAATTTCTGCCAGTGGGTGGTGCCTATGTCTGCCTGTGTATTCACAGCTCCCATATCGGGGGCTGGAAGTTTGGGGTTGTTTGACACCTGTCGGGTTGCTCCTGGTGGCCGTCTGGTGGGGGTTGTGATCCCTGGGCTCTGTCGGGTCTTTGCCAGGGTTGGCCTCCTTGGGTTCTGGGCCACTGGGTTCCGAGCACAGCTTGTTCTGGTGTAGGTGGCTGCAGGCGGGCCTGGGGGCTTGTTGTTGTTATCTCCCGGGGCTTTTGCCACTAGTTGCGCCCCACGCGGTAATCCTCTGTGCCTCTCAGGAGGGAGGTTAGGGCTTCTCCGGCAGTGGTCTCCCTGGGGTCTCCATGCTCCGGGGAGACATATGGATCTCTGAGGCTTGGAACTCCTCCATCTTCTGCACGTCCTTGGGGGCATGTCACGCTCACTATTGGACACTCCTATAGAAAAACCTTACATACACGAGCGTGTGTACACAGGTGCTCACATGGTGCTCATCCAATTATGGACTTGGGCATTTTTAACAGATGACCTAAGGCTGTGATTGGCACTAAATGCACTATGAATTTTTACCGTTTGCTTTTCTGTACAAATTGTTATTGTTTTATATCCTCATGTTGTGTGCACAGTGATATTTTGGTTTTGTTGTATTTTTGTGTTTCCCCTTTCTGTTCTCTCCTTCTGCAGGTCTAGAAGTCTAGAAGCACATTCCTGTTCATCATTTGTTGTTGTTTTCAAACTAGTCCAAACTAGGTCTTTGCACAGTGGGACAGGACATACCTGCAGCAGGAATACGTGACATGCTTCAGATCCCGAGTGGAAATTAATAACTGAAAAAAAAAAGAAATGAAAGCAGAAGTTTTAATATGTGAAGAGAAAACATGGAGCAGTGTTTTATAACAAGTGTTTGATCAAAGCAATCAGGGAAGAAAAGCCAAAACTAACAAATACACAGTTAGGAAATTGTTTCCTCATAGCCTACAGAAACCAGGCACCTTTCAAAACGGTCCATGGTTTTCTTATTTACTGTAAACATATACTTTTGATCCTGCAGATCTCTGCAGTAGACAAACACAACTACTGAAAACCTGAGAATATGTTGCAAAACTGTAGGTGACTGTTGCATTGTGGCTGAAACTGCATTGTGCAAAAATGAGTCAACTGTACACTCTGCACTCTTTGGGGGTCATCTCAGGACACAGGAACAGTGGACACCGGGGTTAGTGAAAGGTGAAAAAGCCTTCAAGTGACTCCTTAGGAATCTGAAAGTACTTGACACATCAATACATATTCACAAACATGCTACAATTAAAACTATACCTGAAGATCTGGTGATTGTCAGAAAAATGTACTCAGACTGATTGATTAGTTGATTAATTGATCGATCGATGATTGATTAATTGACTGATTGATATGAATGTGTGTAATGAAGTCATGAGGGCTTTAGTCCCTAGCAGGTTGATCGTAAAATACTTAAAACAATATGATGACAAACACAGACAAAAATCAACGGGACCTCCAAGCTCACAGAACCACATCATCTGCATGAAGCAGTGATGAGACCCAGAGAGTCACAAAGCAGATGCCCTCCTCAACTACACATTCAGATCAGAACCTCAGAATACAGAAAAAAAAGCTGGCCTGGTGCATTGCATCCAACTGTGGCTAAACTGGCATCCATATAGTGAATGTTGGTGTGGAGACATGGCAGTCCTAAGAATAATATTTGAGGAACTCTTAAGAGTAAAAGTACTTCTACTTGAAGATGTTTCACTTCTTTGTACCTGTTGGATGAGAGGTGAGACGTTGTCGAGCATCAGGAGAAGTTTGATGTTTTTTTTTACTCCCAATAGATCTGAGGTCAAAACCTTTGTGGATCAAAGAACACAAAGACCTTTCTCACGTTTAGCAAAAGACTTTTGGGAAATTTTAATGTGGACTGAGAAGACAAAAAAAAGTTCCATCTGCCGTAAAACTAAAATAAAACTAACGTGTGTGTGTGTGTGTGTGTGTGTGTGTGTGTGTGTGTGTGTGTGTGTGTGTGTGTGTGTGTGTGTGTGTGTGTGTGTGTGACTGATAGAACCATGAATTCTGCTTGGTAGCAGAACTTCCTGAAGATTAAGGGTCTGATTCTTGGACTGGATAATGGGAGAAGCAGTTAATTAATTATTGACCATTCTTCTTTACAGAACTGTTTCAGTTGAGCAATATTCTTGGGATGTCTGGTGGGAATCGCTTTCTTGAGGTTACGCCATAGCAGCTCAAGCGGGTTGAGGTCAGAACTCTAACTGGGCCACTCCAGAGGGCATATTTTCTTCTGTTGTTGATTTACTTCTATGCTGTGGGTCGTTGTCCTGTTGCATCAGCCATCTTTAGTTGAGCTTCAGCTGGTGGACAGATGGCCTTAAGTTCTCCTGCTAAAAGTCTTGATACATTTGGGAATTAATTAATCCATCCAGACCCTGATGCAGGAAAGCAGTCCCAAACCATAACGCCCCCACCAACAAACCTTACAGTTGGTATGAGGTTTTGATTGGTGTGCTGTGCCTCTTTTTTCCACACATGTGTGGTTCTTCCATACAACTCAACTTTGGTTTCATCTGTCCACAGAATATTTGCCAGTACTGCTGTGGAACCTCCAGGGAACCTTCACAGGACAGCCACTCCTAGGGAGAGTAGCAACAGTGCTCAACTTTCTCCATTTATGGACAAT